CAAAATATCTACATCAATATGGTATGCAGTATCATCTTAATGAGCCCTTGATTGAAAACATCTTTGTCTTCATCAAGTCTGTTATCAGCAAAGAACTCTTCATTCTACATATTCCCATCCCCAGTCCTTAATTTTCCATAAAATCGAAATCAAGTCATATTTATCGGATGATGAGTACAAGTTATTTAGATCTTATTAGGAGATCAATCTTCATTCCCATGTCCCCCAAGACTATATACATGTACACTCACTTCATACGTTTCCTAATAGCTTATTATCTTTGAAACACAGTATTGGCAAGCTAGATTTTACTCAGAATGTGAAAGTGCACTTATTTTAGGCATTCTCAATGCTTTGATTTTAGAGAATTATTTCAGCTTTTTTCTTTCTTTTTTTAACATCTGCTCATACCTACAAAGTAGTACACTGCTGACAACTAATTCCTCTTACTTTTGAATAAGTTTTCACTTTTTTGTGGGGGAGACATTTTGTTGCTTTTTCTTCACTTAATCTGTCAATCTACCAGTGATGTTATGCAACCCCCCTCCCCCTCCTGCGCAGAATCTACCCATCATTTACACTGCCAATGTTTTTATAATATCCATTTCCCAAGCTAAATATTTGATTTTGCTGAGTTGCCTAGAAACATTATTATTTTAGCTGAGAACGAGATACATTTACAAAGTGACTATCAAAACCTGAACCATGGGGTAGGATTAATAAGATAACTTAGGTGGAAAGATGGTCTCAATTTTAAGACTGGAAATTCTAGTCTACTTTTGGTCAAGATAAAGTATTATAGTACATGCACAGTGTACATGTAATAGTTCACTTAGATAAGTCCTATTATATAAACATAGATTCAAGGTTTCTTTAAAGTTTATTCAAGTGAAGTGCAAAAAAGCAGACAATAACTTTCTAGAAAGTTTAAAACAATTTTCAACTGAGACTCTTCTGGTAAGCTGGGCTCTGGTTAACTTCAACTGATGTAAAAAAAATGGCACATACAGAAAGTAGTCTTTTCAGCACAGTTAGCCAAATTTATTTCAGTACAAATATGGGCCTCTGAGTTGTAAAAAAGATTAAAAAAGGACACTATGAAAACATAAGTCACATCCATCCCATCGTGAAATATCAGGCATAGCTGACAAAAATTTTCATTAGATGTCAAATTCCAACATCATTAAAATTCATCATCAGTGGATTGGTTGTCATTGGTCAGGAACACTAACAGAATATATACCTTGATATCTGAGAAAAACATGGCTGCTTAAATTTTTGTGAAAATCAATCTTTTGTCTACATAAACAGACAATATCACTTCATGTACTAGTAATGACAATTTGAATTCAAGGTTATTCTGGATAACAACAACAATGGCAAATCTCTATGCAATGCCAAATTGCTACCCTATTTGTTCCTAACTGCAATTTGAAATTAAATGTGGGTTATTATTATTATTATTTCAGCTTTATATATGTACAACAGATAAAAGGACAGCATGTTTTGTACATGATGACATCTTTTATGTTAAACACCGAAAAGGAGAATCTCCAAATGGTCATGACTATTCCATAGGAAATGATATATATAAGAAATACCCCACAGCTATCACTATTCAACAAGAGATGAGATAGAGATAAAACCATACCAATAACACTAGGCTATATAATAATAATCACTGGGTTTTACAGGCAGCTTAACCTGACAGCAACTTATCACATTCATCAGTTGAAGTTTAAACACATACCTCTAGTTCTATGTCTAATCTGTTGATGTTGTCTGCTGCCTTGTTGAGTTTTTCCAGTTCAATCTGAAAATAAACAAAGTTTGATAAAACACTGGCTATATATAACATATCTAACAGGAAAATATGAATCTCCTACATCAACCCTTCATTCTGATGATTTGTAGAAGATATTTCTCGAAGTGATTAATAATAATAAATTATAAGAAGAACAGCACAGTGCAAAAAGCATTAGTATCAATCTAGTAAAATCCATAATAGGTACATGTATAAAAGATATTAAATAATCATTGATATCTGTTGTGATTTTTATACTACTAGTACGTATACATGTATGTATCAGACATCACATTAATGTCTTGGAAATTGGACAACACCAATGAAGGGCAATCCAAGTCACAAGTGGTACATCTAATCACATGAATTAAATTGTATTTTGTATTAAAAATTGCGTTCTGGATACATTTCAATAAATCTGCCTTCCCTTCTGAACTAAGTCCAAATCTGGCAATTAAGACCTAGTACAACCAAACATCAACTGCCACATAACACTTGGTTAATGAGCAGTTCAATCAACCTGACATTGCATACTAAGTGAAAATTACCAGAGAACCTCTCCATGTAATAGCTTAGTATGCATATCACTAGTCGACATAGAGTTTGCTCATGGACCTAGCCCTCATTAATTACTGTGTACATGTGTCTGTATCCTGGTTCACAGACCAGTTTTATATCTCTGACTTAAATATATACTAAACAGCAGCCAATGTGCATCAATATGGATTGTATTCAGTTATAAAAGGCTTTTTTTGTACCTTTTTGTTTAAAAAAGAATAATGTGGAAATAACAGGTGGTTACCAAGACCTAAATTTAAATTTAAAATGACAGCATTCCTTTCTAGTAGCCTTTACTGACTTTTGTAAATTTATGTCATTCCACAATATTTTCCTTTCTCTCACATTCCTTTTACCCTCTGTAAAACATTTTAGCATCTTTGTAACTACTGAATAAAATTTAAAAGAGTAAACCATACTGCTTAGTTTACTTTCTCTTCTAACTGTATTGAAGCGTAGAAAAAAAGTGCACAGCCACTTGGTCTCATATGCACGAAACTCAATGACAAATGTGCACTACATATTTACTTATTTATTTATATCTATTTTTTAATATATCTTACTTCATTTTATTATTTTTTCTTTGCATAGCGCAAATTCTTGACATTTTGGACCTGGGACTACAGCCCTGTACATGTCACATTATATTTATTGCTCTATGTCAAAAAACATTACTGTCCTTCTTTAAAACTTCTCTTGTAAAATATTCCAAAAATTCTTCTTATTTTGTTCAATATAAAGAAAAAAAGGTCAAAGTTTCACCAGCAACTGTTGGGATGGGCAGTTTTGTCACATGAGTGCACCTTAGACTTCCACCAGATGTTCAATCTATGGTTGTTTGGAACCTGGCGAATGAAAAATGGGGGTCACTTCTAAGTTGACAGGTCAGAAAATAGGGGGTATTTTTTATGACAGTGTATCACAGACCAATATTAAACAGTGCTCCTAAAGAAAACCGTGTATACTCTCCATGTTTGCAAGTGTATAAATAAGCATAGTCTTAACTAAAAAATTTCCCTGTCTTTAAAAAATAAAATCTGTTGTAACAACATATTATTGTATTGGTTGTATTGGGTGTATTCCAAGTTACTGACTCAGGCACATACCAATCTATACACTGCAAGTACAATTTCACTCAATCGACTAAAACAATGCCTCCAAGATTATGTAATATTTATGGTCAAATTGCTTTTTAAATAAAGAAGTGGCTAATCTTGTTTATATTCATTCTAAATAGACTGTGTTAGGATCATATGAAAGCTTTTAAACTAAAACTCAATGTTCTGACTGGATAATGAGTCCTACATGTAGTTTAAAGGTATGATAATGGCAACATCCTGAAATTACAGCAATGTCCTAAAAAAAAAAAAAATGAAAAAAGAAAGATTTTGCATTTGCTTCATTGGAACAAAGATAAGATATCCATCAAATAGATTTTTCTTATTTTTCAACTGAATGTGTCCCGCAAAATTCCAAATCTTGTTTATCCTGTAATCTGAATTGCATGTGATATGTGTTCAACTGTCAAGTTGCAGCACATAAAGTGTTCAAAGCAAGGTTATTAAAAGCTTGAAGACCATGTAATGTCTCCTGCTATCACTAAATTCAATTTCCTTGTTCACTTTTGTAAACCAAAAATCAAAAGATTACAATATACAGTAACAAACACCAGTTACTAATTTTTTGATTGAGATATGTGACATGTTTTAAAAACATTAAAATAGTTTCATTTGAAAACAAACAAGATTTTTGTCTTCATTTTGTTTTAATTTGTTGGGTTTGGCTTTATATGAAAACCATGAAATTTGAAAGTAAAACATTTCAGAATTTAATTACTACACTACAGGGACAAAAACTTGTCAAAATACTGTATTTTTCATATTATGTCAAAAGCAAACAATTTATCCAGCTGACAACTCTAAAAATAAAAAATGTACTTCGTCAGCAAAAACTTTCAAATGTCAGTTTCCCCATACAAGCAGAGATGATTCAATTACATTGTATAAAACTTGAACTTAAGAACTCGCAGAGCAGAAGTACTAACTTAGTGACTGGACGGGTTAGATCCGGGCTCTATATTTTAGTGGTAGAGCACTTGCACTGAAGGCGAGCGTCTCGGGTTCGATCCCGCGTCTTGTCAGCTGTTTTCCCCCAAATCGGTACTCTTGTCACTACTTGTTCATGAAAATTTCCCACTATCTAAAACTGGCTGTCTAAAACTAGCAGAACGGCATATGTCAAAGATGCATATGCAAAAACAAAATTGTGATTAACAATATTTTGCCTTTTTACCTTTAGGAACAGAACATTTCTTTTATTTTAAGCGTCTCAAATTACCTGTATCCGCGGATCAAGCTCGTCGTCATCCAATACTTCATTTTCTTCAGCCACCTCAGATTCTTCCACCTCCATGATGGATTGGAAGTATCGTGACCTCTCGCGACCTCTCGCGTCCAAAAAGAAACTTCTCCATTTCTGGGACAATTACTTATGTAAACTCATTTTGTTTAATGTAATGACTTTTCTGTAGGTCGAATACCAAGTAATTTACCATTTAGACATTTGTGTACAACTTGTCTTCCTGATGAATTCCGTTTAATTAAGGTTACTAATTTCTCCGGTAGTCGGCGCTGTGCAGTTCCCGTCAGTCGCCGTCTACTAGGTGCAAGGTACGAGGAAGAAACCACCTACTTTCAAAGTAGGAGTGACCGGAGTAAATTTAAGGAAAGCGAGAGTGACTTGTACCGTCCGTATTTCTTTACAAGGTAAGTGGATAGTGATGCAAAGTCGATGACATTTTTGCATTTCAGTGTCGTAGAGAAATTCGATTTAAATCTAGTCTAAATTACTACAAAATGACAAGATATGGTTCTTGCCTTAGGCTTTGTTTTCTACATCGATGTAATTAGTTACTTAACAACGGGATAAGTATGAAAATATCACGTTAATTTTGTCACACGTAAGACATCAAAGCTGTTGCAAATTAATTTTTAACTCTGAACCCTAGTAATTGGCCAGGATTGGGCACTTGACTTGCACTTGACCATAGCTGACACTGAAATATTTATGAAATGTCCTTGCACAGCTAAAGAAGTTTGTTTTCGTGATGACCAGCTTCCATATCTAATCTGCATGGTCACAGAGCACATAGTGCAGTTAGTTCATTGTACGAAGTATGAAATTATGGTTTGTGGACCCTGTGTTACATCAGTGTACAAGGTGATCAGGACGTGTGTTTGCAGCAGACTCAAGACGTGTGCAAACAAACATAGTTGTAACTCTCTTGACCCCTCCCCCTTGCTTGACCTCATTTCACTACTCACACATATGGGTCATAAAGTAGAACTTTGTTTGAACAGCTTCAGTTAATTTTTAATTGAATAATGGTTGATAATCAATCAGAACAATTAACAATCATTTATCAACAAAAAAAGTGTATAATTTAATTACGATTAAATCCATCACTTATAGATAATGGACTTTATATAAGCTCTGGCTACTTGTATATGTATTAGATTTTCTTAGTACAACTAGCCCAAAAGTGCAATAGAAAATTGTGAAAGATGATAGAGATGTGAACCAAATGGAACCCCTCGAGGCAAATCATTTTAAAATGCAGTGGAGTTACAGTTGACAAAGTACTTTTAAAATAGCATGGTTTACCAACCACCGCTAATGTAAAGCTGGTACGTTTGTAACGAACTCTTGTATGCAACGAGGAAGATATGAAAATTCTAATCATGATTACATTGATGTTTTTTGTCAATTTGCGTCATGAAAAACATCAATTACCACACCTCCACATTAAAGAAGACATCTAAATGTTATAAAATGTCCTTAGATGTAGAGCAGCAATATTGCCGTGAAGAGCAAGTGAAGGGTGAGAATTCTCGTATTTGGGTTATCAACAAAAGCCATGCAAAATTATAGAACCTATTAGTGTATTATAGACCTTGTAGGAGATAGGGAAGGGGGAGAAAGGTGAAAAAAGTTTTTTTAGGGAGGAAAATATCCACTGTCAATTACAATTTGCTCTAGGCTTTATGCCATTTTTCAAATTTTGCCCAATAAGGGAAAAGGAGTCCTCTTAAATTGAAATTGCTGGCCATATGTCTGTAGTTAGCCCTGAAAACTAGGATGTTCAAAATGCCATCCACACGCAGTAACACCATACCAGGGTATATGTGCTGTTTCATCTCTGTTAAGACTTGTCATGAAACCTGATGCCTCCGGGTCATTTACCTGCTCAGGTGTTCTGGGGTAAACATTCTTTTAAGACTTTGTAATAGATGGTGGTGAATTGACCTACATCAACCATGAGGTGAGGGTCCTATCCCCCTGGGGGCTGGATGGAACTTCCTTGCCAATGCAAATGTATATTATTATCGAGAGTAGTCGATTTTTGTTCTGTCATCTGATGTAGTGGTTACAGGGTAGATATCATGTAAAGGGGTTTTTAGTTCAGCAAGTCCCTTGTTACAGAAGAAATGGTAATCAGATACCTGTCAGCACGATATTTTGTAATGAGTTGAAATAAGAGAGCAAAAAAAAAAAAAAAAGAGATTAAGCTTGCAGAGAGTTTCAACCTGTTTGTAAATGTCACCAAACCGTCTGTTCTTTCTTACTTCCTCGTTCCATGCCTGTTATTTTACTGATCACTACTAGGATAATTGAGAATTCCTATAGAAGAATGCTTTACATAAACATTCTACCATTTTTGTCAGATATGGAAAGAATTTGCCATGCTTTCAAGTGAAAAACTTAAATAATTTCAAACAAATATTGGCATCACTATGTAGCATATTAGATTTTTTGCCAAATTCAAAACTTTGATTCAGTTCAATTTGTCCAGTTGAGAAAATATTTTTTTCTTAAATTGTCCAGATATTAGTTTGAAAAAAATTATAAAATAAAAAATATTTACCAAGGTTTATTTTAACACGTGGAACAGAATTATAGCACATAGCAAAGCTAGTTAGTAATGGTAGGGTGTGTTCCCACATTCAAATTTGTGGTTTTTGTCTGTTTATCTCTTCAGTGCATTGCTTTTAAAGTAAGAAGGGAACAAGGAAACCATATTAGCTAAAGTGTATGCCCTCTCATACAAATACATCACTTATCTCAGTAATGGAGCTAAATGTGTTGAAAAATTAAACATTTTCAATGTACTCTTAACTTAGGCTTCACTTGCAATGATGTGGGATAGAATGCATAGTAACTAGTCCGTCTTTATGAAACTATTGTTTAATGAACAAAATCTGTCCCATAAACAAAACTATTAAATCCTCTTTACAGGTTGCTAATCACCCATTCACCTTTCCTTAATTCTGTTTAATTGCCCATAAACATGTTCAATGTGTTGATCATGATGTTTGTATTAAAAACGCGCGCACGAAAAGTGTACTAGTAATTATATAAGCAGTTTGCACTTTTGTCATATTGAGGAGTGCAGCATTTCATTGCCATTTTCAGTCTTTATTTTGAAATAATGATATAGGTATATAACTAGATTTCTAATTAATAATTTGTAGGTATACAAAGTTCTAGATTTCAATTAATCATTTATAGGTATATGACTAGATTTCAAATTAATAATTTATAGGTGTATAACTAGATTTCAAATTAATAATTAATAATAATAGGCATATAACTAAAGTGTAGAGAGTAAAGTTGTCGGTATTGATTCAGATGAGATATATGGGTGTTTTATTAATGCCCCATACCCCCCCCCCCCCCCCACATGGAGCTGCACTCCTACAGCACCTATATTTTCTGACTTTCTTTTTTAGAAATGATCTGTCTTCATCCTTGATACCTGTGGTCTGAACTCCTTATGTTACGCGTGGCTGGGCAGCCTTATGGTGTGATATAAGACAAAGATAAGGCTCATATTTGAAGTTACTAATCCCAGTGGCACCCAAGAACACAAAACTTTTGCTGATTTTTTAGTACAACCAAACAGCATCAAGCAGATATAGTAGGCGATATATATATATATATATTTACCCAATTTTGCACTTTAAAAAAGCTACAGTGAAAAGGTAGTGCGTCTCGTTTGAGATAGAGGATGTAACCCTTGACATATTTCACGTCTGTTTCATCGTTTGAGTGTTCAGTATAGAAAGAGTTTTCCATTGTATTGGTTTTAAAACCCCAGAATATTGACCATTATTTGAGGAACTACATGTAGTATGTTTACAACCATACATTGCCTGCATGGAGTGGTGATAAATTCACACCCAAATTAACATTAAAAAACTAAGAGACTTGTTCTGATTGACAGAGCAATCTCAATTAAACAAGACCAAATGGCAATGCTCTCTATCTTTTGAAAAGCATTTACTAGTAAGAAAAAACTGATCTGTTTTGTTGTTTTTGGCTTGACCTTGACTTACTGTCTTACATCTGTGAAGAATTTTAACAGTTGTATAGCATGCAGTAAAATATTTGCAGCTCTATAAAAAAACTACTACACAGGAGAAATTGTATAACATTTGAGATGTATTTATTTGATTAATGCTACCAACTCTGCTTAAATACTAGTACTTACTAGTATAGGTGTTTAAAAATTTTGGGATAGATGCTAGAAAAACAGTATCTGTTTATATTAATTTGTATATCCTATGATGAATTATTATCCATTAAAATAATTTTGAAATTTTTCAGGATTGAGGTTTAAGAATATATCTTGGCAATGTACAAGTATTACAATTATCATCACAGTGACAATATCAAAAGTGATAGAATTTATATATTATATTTATGAATCTTAGTGTATGTTGAAGATAAATTCATGACAACTGTTTTCATGGTTTTAGTTGCATGTGAATAGTTACTAAAGAAAATAATTTAGAAAAGAGAAGTGAAGAGCAAAAAAATACGTTGTGTCATTTTACATATTAACATGAATTTACAGAAAAATCAAAATAATCAAAATATATTTTCTAAAAAAGGGCTGCTGAAATAATGGTAACACAACCCCATTCAAACATTCTCTTTATTGTAGTAGACCACACATATTATCTGATAATGTTATCAAAAAAAATTTCCCCCATTGAAAACTCACCATCTCCAAGGCATGTCCCAGTTATGATAATCGTCCTCAGAGAACCAGGCAGTGCCAGGGTCTGAGACCCTGTTCCTCCTGGTACAGCGCCACCGTGGACGGCATTTCAGGACAAAAAACAACTTATTTTACTTTAATATGGGGTTATGTCCAGGACAGCAATGCTAGGATTAAATTAACTTTAAAATGGTGCGTGTGTAAGGAAAGATAGGAGAACTGAGTTGACAGGTTTCAGGAAGTAAAATATATACAGACTTCAGTCTGTCTATGGATGATACTCAGGTGAGGATTACCAGACAGGTATTTACATACACAAGTACTGTATGCACCACTGGGAGCAATACTTAGTCTATTTCTTTATTCATATACTTATTTATTCATTAATTTTTTGTGGTTATTAGGTCAAGTCAGTCTTGAGGGTAACTAGTGCAATATAGGATTACAACCATGAAAACTAATAGTTCTTGTCTTTTATTGACTAATCTTTTGTATGTTGCTGTTCTTTTTAAAAGCAGTTACTGTAGGGGATATTGTGTAGGAACCATTGCCCCATTCTGCAAAAATAAATCTAAAGAGATAAATAAAATAAACAAATAAGAATTTGAGTGGCCTGGAACATCACAGTTCAGGAGGCCATGGATATATGAAACAATGATGAAAGGTAATACCAGGGACATGGGGGCACTTGTTGTTACTGGGCATATTATATATTATATTGTAAATCTCTTCTTCATGTATATATTAAAAAAAAACTGTGTGACCCCTTGGGACTTCAGGATGTGAAGGAAAGACTGGGGAAGAAGTATGATCATCTTATTTCTCCACTGATTATTAGTTATCACATTTTGGGACCAACGTGACACTCCATGTTAATACCAATTCCTTTTGCCCTATTGAGAGTTTGGGAAGGTTTTATATATATATATAGTTGAGGAGGTTTCCTCTGCTTCCCACTATAATTAAGTGTCTGCAGTGCCTGTCCCGCCATGACACTGCTTGCTCTAGGGTTTTACACTCCAGTATACGTAGATGTACACATAAACACAGAGTGCAGTTTTAAGGGACTGTCCCAGAGATCAAAATGAGGCTGGTTGGGTGGGGGGGGGGGGGGGGGAGGGGGGGGGGGAGGTGATGCCATTTATGTGATCATGCCCTGGTGAGGAAAGTTGATGCTTTTATTTATTTATTTATTTATTTATTTATTTATTTATTTATTTATTTATTTATTTATTTATTACAGGAAACACAAAGGTTACTTAAGGTGAAAGGATTTCCATAAATTATAACTCATTTAAGATAAATTGTATAATTGTTAATTATTGCTTCAGATATATAGATATTTATATATAGTTTTGACTTAAATGTGTCTTAAAACAAACTCACTAGTGAACAGAAGATATATCATACATTAACCTCTTCAAACTAGGAAGTGTGGTTTGTCTGTTTATCTTTTATGAATATGTTACTAGAATAAACAATGCACAATGTTTAAACTGCTTGCTCAGTGATTATTACATTGAAGCAGGCTACTTGAGATAATACTTGTTTACAAGACCAATATTTCTTGCTTGAAAACCAAGAGAGGTATTCGCCACAAATATTAGAAGGGCATATTTTATAGTTTATCTCTAGCAAGGAGTGAGTACTACATATATATATTTTTGTGCAGTATTTATAAACAAGCCTTAGTTTTAGAAGTCTGTACCCTGTACTAGGGAGTCTCAAAGTTGGGTGGAGACTTATTGTCAGTACTTATGAAGTTCAGGATGGATGAACACTTTTATGATTGTCTGATATAAAGTCACACATATGATAACTTTAACAATGGTAGATATTATTATTCATTTTGGGCAAGTTATCAGTGACCCTGAGTGGAGATAGTGTGCAAGGAATCTATGGTGATATTGTGTCCTTTACCTCCTTCTGTATACTATAGTCGACTTGATTTCAGAACCTGAATCAAATCTTGTGTCCGATCATACCTTTTCTGGCCAAAAGGGCAGTTCCTTTGAACCCCTGCCCCCCCCCCCCATACCCCCCACCCCCTGTTTTGTTCTTCCACTCAAACTATACACAACACTTTGAGTCAATATAACGTGATGTTTATATATTATTACATGCACACAGAATTCTTAGATTCCTGCCAAAGCTTGAGATCTATAATCAGGTACATAATTCATTAGCCATATAAATTGGATGAAGGTGAAACAGCAGGTGCCTTAAGTCTATAGCTAAGAGACTACTCTGAGCTCATTTAAATGAGCTGAATATCAGACTAAAGCTAGATATATTCCATTTTGCCCAAAGAAAATGTGAAAAATACCACAATTTTTGCTGATATTGACTTATGGAGGGAAAAATTGATTTGTCTTTGTCTGAATAAAGTTACTGAGGAAGTCCTGTAGCTATTGTAAATATTTAGCATTATACTCAGCTATTGTATCATTATTCTGTAAAGTAGACCAAATTACAATGTAATGACATCAAATCCTGACAGATATCTTTGTGTAGACCTGACATGTTGTCATAGCAACAGGTGATTGTTGGTAAACAGATTTGACTTGGCTTTAGCTATATAATTCAGGGTGAAGATTCAACTCTCACTTGCAGTGGATAAATTTCTTTTCTTGCCTGTAAGTAGAGATAGCTTGAGTTCCACTTCCTGACCATTTCTTCCTAAAAAACAGTCTAATCAACTGTGTCATTTTCAACAAGAAGTTCTTCAAATTTTCTGTGGAAGAGGAATGGGGGGGGGGGGGGATTGATTTCTGTTACATCTGTAACCTTGTTCCCACTGTTTCTTGGCAGAAACTCCAAATCTGATTTCTTTGACTGATGTTTGAAGAATTTATTCCTAATTTTTCCATCAATTCAGTCACTGTAATATTCCCAACTTGGGGGGGGGGGGGGGGGGGAAATCTGAACCCGGAATAAAAAAACTATCAAATATAGTTTTTAATGATAAAGCATGAGATTACTGAGAAAGTATTCAATATAGTTTTTAATGATAAAACATGAGATTATTGAGAAAGTATTCAGAGTGTATAGATCTGCCTATGTTATCTAGATAGATGTAGGTAGTGTAACAGATAGGAAGTGTACAAGGTGCACTATGTTATCACCAATGAATCATAACTGAGAGAGTTGAGGACTGGAGGAGGTGGATATTTTCTCATTAGACACTGAGTGTGAGGACAAGGTACCACTTACTACTACAATATCATATTGTATCGGTGTGGGTTGCTGTATGCTTGGGTTATTTTTGGAAATTATTTTGAGATTTTGTCATGAAATTGTCATGATCTGGCTATAGCCCTAGTGTGAAATTTGAAAAGACTGTTTGAAGGTATAGCTAGAAGGGAAATCGAAGTAGGTTTAGTAATGTAGTGGTTTTGATTTGGGGGTAGGGGTGAGTGGGGGGGGGAGGGGGCAAGTCTGAGAGTTAGGAAGGGAAAGACAAAATGGCTGTTGTGGAGGAGGTTGTGGTTGTAGTGATAACAATAGCAGTAACAGCACTTTAACAGTACCAGGTACAACAGATATATATATATTGTAGTTGTACTTGGTATTGGTAGTTGTAGCACTGAGTAGGAGGCAATGACAGTCTGGGAAAAATATCAAGAGGTTTTGAAAAAGATTTTGTAAAAAATAATAAAATGATATATTTTTTATTTTCAGTCAGACTTCCTGGACACAACTCCTCAATGTGTGAGACAGATCGGTAGCAGCAGTTTTCATTTTTAGTCAGGTAAGGAAATAATCCACAATAACTTATTAAGAAAATTTTTCATTAACTTATAGCATTAAGAAAAAAAGGCTTTCTACCTATGTATTTGTCCTGAATGGCTATCAGGCATGCCAAGGCGCACTTAAAATGTATTTTGCCTGATGGTATGTGGGTATTTATAGACTGCGTCCATTTATTACAGCATGGTACCCTCATGTTACGCTTTAATGGTGGGATGTAAAATGTGTCACATTTAGGTGGAAAATCACCATTCAAGTGATCAAGATCCATCGTTAGTGGATTAAATTCTAGTGTATGCCTCATTATTTAAGCCCCCAAGTCAAGAATAGCTCTGTTTTATCACTTAAATGGTACTTAATAGTATCTTTAGCCTTCAGCTTTTATGACATATGAAATGCTGAGACTGGTAAAAATTTCAGGTCAGTCACATACTTGTGACATGCATATACATATGGAGGTCTATTACTTGCAGTTTTTAAAAGACCTGACAGCTACAGGTTGACGTGATTTCATATCTTTAATGCAAAATGTCACATTCTTGAAATCATGGGACATGAACAGTCAAAAGTATATTCTGTTTTAAACTCAAGTCTTATTAAGAGTTAAAAAAAAAGTGGTAATAGTTTAGGGGAGGATGGGCGCCAGACCAGGGATATTTTTCAAGTCTCTGTGGCTATAATAATGATAATTATTTTACTTATGATATACTATCTCTAAAACATCATGCCATCTTCATTGAAAGATCTCACTGGAAAAAATTACAACACTGCAAAACCACTAAGTCTGAAGATCTAATCTAGCTGAGTCACTTGAGCAATGATTTTTTCCTTACTAGTGACTTTTTTTTAATCTGGTTACATCACTTTTTTCTAGCATGTATAACATAGTACAGTGTATTGGATCACGTATGACTTGTGGGATTGGGTTAAACTATTTTTAGAAAAAAAGTAAACTATTAACACAGAATGATTGGCAGAATGCCTGTGCCCTCTCCTCCTCCACCCCAGATTCCTTACAGATCTCCTTTCAGCTTGGATTTAAAGAAAAATAGGAAACCTCTGACTTTTTGAGCCTGGATGAAAAAAAAATATTGTTAACTTACACAAGTAAATATAGGCCACTGATTCTGTCTTATGGCAAACATATTTTAGGTTGATGTACAGTTGAAAGCCACACGCTCTACAGGATTCTTTCAGTTTAGAATATTAACCTACATTAAGGGTTGGCCCCAGTGAAAACAAATGGGCCCAGCTGTAGGTTACATAAGACAAGGGTTCTCTTGACATGGAGATGTTTGACTTATGACCTGGTTTGTCAGTTAATACGAGGTCAAACGAACACAGAGCAGGCACAAGTGGGTGCTGTCTGTGTCAGTGTGGAGGGTTAGCCAGAGGTAAGGGATTGCTTGTATGTGTGTAAGGATTTAATGGAATTGGGTTGTTTTGTTTTGTTATACATGTAGTTAATTGACATGCCTGAGATACCTATGGTGGTGCTGTTTATGTACGTGGTTTTCTGCAGGGTAGCTTTGCTCGCTCGCTCTCTCTCTCTCTCTCTCTCTCTCTCTCTCTCACACATACACACACACACACACACACACACACACACACACACACACACACGTCTGGAGCCCATTTCTTTGTAACCATAACATTTCCGAGTCCTCTACTTCAAGGTATTTGATAGTTGAAGATGTTCAGCACTTGTTTCGAAGAGTATAGACCTATTCCTGATAAAAAGTAATGGAATACCTTTGTCTATAGCTGCTGTTGTCGTATAGTCTGGCTCATGTATTTATTGGTTTTAAAAGTAAGTTATATATTAAATTACTTTTACAATAAGGAAATGTATACCACACATGCTTTGTTTCACACATTATTGGTTTTACTTCTGTCGTATATAGTGTACTCTTGTTTAAGGTACTATGAGCCCGTGGCTTAAAATACCTGAATAAATATACTGCATTCTATGTGTCACTGGAGAAGATGAGATGCAGTGACAGGTAGAGAGTTTTCAACCTAATCAGGGGTGAGTGTGTTAGTTGTGAAGACAAGCAGTGGATGTGACAGTGAACACAATGTGGAAAGAGTTGAGTTAGCATGTGGGCTTAGTCAGGTAGAGTCAATTTCATAAGAGTGCAAAACATATTCCATTTATGAAAGGCATAAAAGTAGACAATTTTTAGAGAACTTTGCTGTTGAAAAATATGAAAGTTTTGATTTTACAAAAAAAAAAAAAAAAATGGCTGTCTAGTCAAAAGACAAAAAATTCCAGAGCTTGTGTTCTTTCCATACTACAGAATTCATACTAAATGACTTAAAGATTTCAGCATAGGATCCACAGGGTGTACATATCTCACCACCCTGACTAGATAGTGTGTTCTGTACTCAGCATAGGATCCACAGGGTGTACATATCTCACCAGCTTAACCAGATAGTGTGTTCACTACTCATTAAGANATATGAACACAGGAGATTGTCAGTGACAGGAAGATATATATACCAGCAAGTCTGGGTGTCAGTAACAGGAGACTGCTCCAATGGCACAATTGTCGTAATATTCCGTACCATGTTGCTATTTTAGTGTAAAGACAATGATGTCCTTGAGGGGAGGATTACAGGCACGTAGGTAACACGCTTGTAGTACAAGATACTGTGTGTGGAGTTCAGTGTGTTGTACTCAGAGAGACAGGTTCACCCTTTGGATATTGTGTGTGGTTTAAGTTTTAACAAGTGGCTAGAAGGATCAGAGAAGAAAATGCTGGACTTGACTGGAAGTGCTGTTGCTATGGATGTGGGTAGATAGGATTAGTACAGAGGCACTGGTGTTCTACATTGGTTTTGGTTTGTGACATTGTAAATGTCAGTTCTGTCACTTGTCAGCTGTCACCTTTATTTCTTTGCACCTGGGGAGCTGTGATTTGATACTGTATGTATTGACTTAGACTACTGACTGTGCATTAACAGGTGTCTTGTGGATTTAAAGATTAGGTGTAGTTTATGATGGACAAAACCTAAGTCAATTTAGACATATTGCACAGGTATTTGCCTTATCAAGTCTGTGATGTGGACAGAGTGACAAACTACTTTTTGAGTTGAAGTTGAGCAATTGTGACAGCTTACTTAAATGGGTGAATTAGTTCTTAAATATTGACTATCTTGAGGAGCACACACCAGCACACCTGCATTGTGGCTTTTAATCTGTCACTGAGATGATTCTTAAATTACTAGTAGACATGAACATGAACTCAAATCATCATGACATCATTTATGTTGTTTAAGATCCACCTTACCTTCAGATGTCAAAAGTCACTGCAAGAGTAACACCGTGACTTTTTAATTTTGGGACTTTGCACTTGGGGGATCAAGTGTAACATGTTGTGATTACCTCAGACATTTTACTCACAGCTGGAAAACCTGTTTAATTACTTGTGAACTTGCTTGCAGTCCAGATATTTTTTTCCTGATATCTTTGACATAAAGATTCTCACTGATGCCAGCTAATGAATTTTACATTTAAAATTACTTAAACACCTTTTAAGTGACATATAGGATGTCATAGTAATTTATTTAAATGTTATGAGATAAGATAACATTATATTCTGGCAATCTTTCCTTCAAGAGTGACCTAGAATCCTTCCCAGGACATTTTGACTTTTCCATTTTGAACAATTGACGAAAATATTTTCATCAGTACACCAGCTGGTGTGCCGCTATTGACATGTGGAGGACATAGAAAAAAAGAAAGTGTAGGAAAAAAAAAAAAAAGAGAGGGAGAGGAAACCTATCACACTTTTATATTTGAGGAAGGAGGCACATTACCTAACAGCTTTTATCATTTCCAGACATTGCAGGAAAAAGGATTTTTGCTTCATTTCCACTGTTCTTAGGTCTTCAAATATCTCCGCTCAGGAAACATGGAGTCCTTACCCAAAGCCCGTTCTTATATGAATAGTAAAGAGAATATTGTTCTTGTTCCTAATGCTAGTTTTGGGAAGAGGAAGTTCATCCAGTTTTCCGTCATGAATCGTCAGACCAGTTTTGCGCGCTGGGTGCAGGGCCAGAAGGAAAACCAGTCTCACAGTCGAAACAGTAAGTGTTCTAATTGGTGTGTTTATGTTTGTTAATTGTTGTATATATTATTTTATTTATTTATTTATTTATTTATTTATTTATTTATTTATTTATTATACTGTAACAATTACAATATTTTGTCACTGAAGTCTTACCAGAAGAGATCAAAGTATTTATTTATTTATTTAATTATATTTTTTGTGAGACCAATATTATTGTCACTTTATGATAAAACTTTTCAATAATTAATCCCTTCCAATATACAATACAATAGAATTACTTGTACCTAAGGCAAGGGAAATGTAAAAAAAAAATTAGACAAAATTAGTATCATGGCTTTGAAAAACTGAACAATAAGAAACTACATGGGCCGCGCTAATGTAACTTGTGCTGTGAGTGTTACAGTAAATTATGTTCTGGAGAGTGACAACAGGGAAGTAGGTGGTGCCAGGGTCCTGCTGGTACTGGCTTGCAAATCTGGGTCATGTTTTGGAGACAACTGGAAACAGTAATTCAGAAATAAGGAGCCCCTGCAGAAAGGAGAGGCTGTAGAGGCTTTCCATCTTGAACAGTAGCCTTTTCTTTCTTTTTAGTGAAACGGGCGTCCTTATTTACTAAAATTAGTAAAATTTTCAGTCTTAAAGGCAAGCAGTGATCTTAGCATCTATTGTGAAACAGGTCTTAGAACTTGGCTGTTACATCTCTGGCACCTGCTGTGCTGCTGAATTGGAACAGCAAGAAAATGGGAAATGAATCATCATATTTATTACCATGAATTTCTTAGGACAGACCACAGAAAATGTTTTTTTTTTTCTGGTTCAATATTTACAATAATTCTTTGTCAACCATTTGCTGTTCTGATTTGGTAATCACAAAAAAAAAAAAAAAAAGAAAGAAAGAAAGAAAGAAAGAAAAGGAAAACTGAGTGAGGGAGTTACATCACCCTAAAGAATTCCATGTTTGTTGATTGTATCATGTATGGCTCAAATCCCTGCTGTTTTGAGCCTAATAAAATGAAAACAAGAAAAAAAAAGGTGAAGAAATTCAGGAAATTACTTCATCCTGAGTTCCATTCCTCAAAAATGTTTCTTATCAGTGTTTCTGAAAGTTTTTCCCCTCTTTTGTATGTCTGTTCTCAAAGGAGTTTCCTGCATCTTTGGAAGAGAAAAAGACCCTAGTGTAAGGCCGTCGGCAGAAATGTATCAGATTTGTTCTGTTCTTCAACAATTTGCAGAGAAAAAGTGTGATGCTTAAGATCTAAATAAAAGCTGCTGTTTTTTTGTCTTGACTTGGTGCCAGGACATTGCCCTTTCTGGAAACTTGCCTTCAATGTTAACACATGCTTGCTGTTTTCAGATTTCCAGTTTTCTTTGAAACACAAAACAATATCTGGAGACCAGCAATCATATCTTTACTTAAATCTAAATAACTGATTACTTGTATAGACCAAATTTATTATAGATATGAGAAAATAAAGATAAAGGGGGATGAAATAAAAAAGAGCAATTATTTGGAAATTTCCATAGCCAACTTAAGAAATATTTGAATGTCAGTAGCTTTTCTATATATCCTGAATGGTAGTGTCTTCTTTTCATAGACTAGAGAAGAGCCACTGAACATGTTGCCATGGCATGTACGCATGTGCATACTGAATTAGTCATTGGACATGTACATGTGTACCTCATATGTACTTGCACATACATATACATCTCATATATACTTGCACATACACCTCATATATACTTGCACATAAATATATACACTAAACGTGTCATATTTGTTTCTTTTCCAGTGAACAAGCAGTGGGTTCATCCTCCAGAAGCTCTCCTCAGAGGGCATATAGTCTACAATGTCAAAGTAAGTGGATTTGTACTGGAACAGATACATTTTGCTACATACTTAAAAATTGGTACAGTGTACATGTACAGTGTCAAAGTTGGTGGGCTGTTAAGATACATTTTGCTACATAGTTACAGAATGGTAGAATAATAGAATAAATCACCCTTTGTATACAAAGTGAGATTATGATAGTAATGCAATAACTATGGCAGTTTTCTTATGTAAAGGTTTTTTTTTTTTTTTTTTTTTTTTTTTTTTTACAAAGAACCTAAAGACAACTGATAGATCTAAGATCAAATTTTCTTCATTTGTAAATTTTTTTCAAATTTTCTAGTATCTTGGAGGATGTGGAGTGGAAACAGCCAAGGGGTCTGATGTAGTCAAGGATGCAATTAGGAAAATGAAGGTAATGTGAAAAATAATAATAATGATGAAATGATAAAATTTTCTTACTTGATCACCATACAACTGAAACTTTCAGTAAAAATAGGGCAAGAAAGGAGTCTTCAAATAAACTTCAGATTTTAATTTATTGTAAAGTCACCAAAACTTTTGTTTTCAGTTCAACAAACAGTTAAAGAAGTCAGAAGGCATCAAGCCAGCCAAGGTGGAGCTGACAATATCCGTGGACGGGGTGACCATTCAGGATCCTAAAACCAAAGTAAGTCACCATTCACCAAAGTTTAAATCCACTCTTCCTGCTTCTTTTTGGAGCTAGTCTGAAGTTAAGCAGGCTTTACTTTTCATTCTTCTGTGAAAGGACAGAAGTTTGACAGAAGCCGTTTCATAATCTTTTTGACCTATGATATTAACAATTGCATGCACGCAGGCAAACACACATCTCTTACAATTTTGGTTGTTTATTTATTTAAAAAAAGGCATCAGATTCTGTAGTATGGCTTTTCATTTAACTTAAACCACAATGTCTCAAGTTCATGAATGAAAAAGAAAATTAAGTAATATCATTAACACAGACCTTCTGTGCTTTTCACATAAATAAAGGACAGCATCAAGGGGACCACACAATCGCAATAAATCTATATCATTTCCAGATTATCAAGCACCAGTATCCTCTGCATCGTATCTCTTACTGCGCAGATGACAAGTCAGACAAGAGGATGTTCACCTTCATTGCCAAGGAGGCGGACTCACAGGATCACACTTGTCACGTGTTTGACAGCGAGAAATGTGTATGTCTGTCCAATTTGTCATCCTGTATAACATTGTGGGGATTGTCTGATTTGGGTGAAATTGTGATACATATATTGTTTAAGTTGAATGAAGTTGTGGTTGAAATTGCGACATAGGTTGAGTCAATACTTACATGTTTCAGTAGCAAATGACTGCCAGGTCCTCACTTGCCCTGTCTTTCACAAATGGCAAATGCATTGAGTTGGGTGAGATTGCTACAATGTCAAAACTATAGCAATGAAAAAACATGCACTGGAACATTCAGGTGTTACCTATATGGACAATTTTGATTGCATTGAACCAAGACTTCTCTTGTCCAGTGTTGGTGCTTGTCACATGTGGTCAAAGCCAGAAGTGAAATTGTGTTGGATTGTGACAGTTGAGACCATACTAGCACACCTAACACAAATAGGGAACAATATGAATATTCTCAAACTTAAATATCAAAAGGAAATCTTATAAAAAGGCTCAAGTTGCAAAATTTTGAGTACAAAACTTATCAAAAATTTTCTCCCTTTGAATATAGATCTTATGTATCTGAACAGTTTATTTAACCCTGCCCATGTCTGTATGTCTGGCTCCCTTTATTTGAAAATATACAGGAATTAAATAACAACATATTATTATTGATTGTTCACTAAATGAATGTCATATTTTCCATTCCAGTCTGAAGAGATCACTCTGACAGTGGGGCAAGCATTTGACCTCGCCTACAGAAAATTTCTGGAGTCTTCAGGACGCGACATGGATCTCAAGAAACAGTTCTTGCTGCTGCAAAAGAAGGTAATTAAAAGTGAAGTTGCACATACATGTTTTAAAGCAATTCTGCATAGACTTACCAAGCTATTTTATATATCCTATTGTAAGGGGAGTGTTTGAAGGAAAAATGGGTCTCAGATTCATTTACCAATGCTTTCCAGCTAGTAAATTTGACCTGGACTTCGTAGTTATCTTGGGGTGTACTAGTCAGAGCTACCAATGGACTGCAAAGTTATGAAGTTACAGGCGTGGACTACGCAATCACTTCCTAATGTCCGTTTATCTTTTTCGCTATCACATCCTAATATCCCAGTGTCTCTCGCCCCCAGGTCCAGGCACTGTCCCATGAAAACCAGGAACTGAAGACCAGGATCCAGGAACTGGAAGGCATGAAGGACAGAGACGAGATCCAGAGATACATGGAGCAGAACCATGTACGTACCACCTCAGATCCCAATATCTGACCTGGAAAGACCGGATTATTATTATTATTAGTAGTAGTAGTATTTATTATTATTATTATTATTATTATTATTAGTAGTAGTAGTAGTAGTAGTAGTAGTAGTAGTAGTAGTAGTAGTAGTAGTAGCAGTAGCAGCAGTAGTAGTTCAATAAAACGCAAGATGAATTTGGGTATTTTTCCATTTTTGACGGATCTTAAATGATGTTGAACCCAATTTCAGTTAGTTTATATGAAGATTACCCCATGGTTTAAGAGTTAGCTAACACATAAATGATTGGTGGCCAAAGTTTTGAAAATTTTTATAATTGCTAGTATGAATTTTGATATGAATATTCTCAAACTTAAATATCAAAAGAAAATTTATTAAAAAGGCTCAAGTAGCAAAATTTTGAGTACATACCTTATCAAAAATTTTCTCCCTTTGAATATAGATCTTATATATCTTAACAGTTTATTTGAATATAGATCTTATATATCTTAACAGTTTATTTGAAACCCTGCCCATCCCTGTATATCTGGCTTCCTTTATTTGAAAATATACAGGAATTAAATAACAACATATTATTATTGATTGCATGTAAGTATATGCAAATAACCATATTAACAGGAAGCATTTTATTTAACTAAGAGCAAATTGACTTGTGGTTTATCAGAAAAGTGATGACATTTCTGAAGATAACATGTCACAACTGACCCTAGACATATAAATAGAAATACTGAAAAATTTAGCTTTATTTTTTTAGAAATTACATGTTCTGGTTGTTATTTTCTTTGTCAGAATTTTTAGCTCTCAAGTCACTATTTAAGACATTAAGGTGGAGGTGTCAATTTTGTTCATCAGTGTTTTTATTTAAAATTGTAATTGTCATTCTGGTGAGGATACACACAGTTAGAATTGTCTTTATTTTTGTTGATTTTATGTTTAATTTATTTTCTTTTTTTTTTTTTTTGCGCACTTTTTTTTTATAATCTGCATGTGTTCATGTTTCCAGTCTATCACGCCAGCCTCACCAGTGTCTCCAGCTGACTTGATTGATTACAATTTTTATTTCGGTCACCATAGTGACCTGAGCACTGTGGCAACAGAGGCCACAGAGGTAACCATGTGACAGTCATGTGACCATTGTGTGACACACCTCTATATTTTGTGTTGTTTTACACTGTCATTACTTTTCTATACACCCATACTCATTATACTATGTACTTATTTTAGGCTGACACCAGTATGAAATATCACAGTACCATTTTTGGAAAGAAAGAAAAATATATCTTTTTACTGAAGAGGTATTCATTATTGACTTTGCTTCAAATTGGCTGTGGATTTTATTTGAACATTAAGCTAACATGGTCAGTTTAGACTTGGACAGTTAAGGCCAGATATTGCACAGTGGGATCTCTGTCGTGGTTTCTGGTTTAAATTGATTCTGGTCTGAATACACTCATAAGATGAGACAAACCATACTGGTGTGAGTTATAAGTCCCATGTATTTCCACTTGGTAGTCTAACCCTACAAGCTTTCTGTGCTTTTATTTCTCTAGATACGCTCTCTGGGTGAGATAACCCCAAGCCTTGTTTTCACAGAAGGAAAGTCCAAGCATAATGGGGAGGTAGGAGATATATGTATCTGCTTTAAGTTGCTTTCACATGCTTGGGTTCTATGTGGGCCTGGCACACTTTTCAGTTTTGAAGTTCAACGGGCTGGTCTCACTCTATGCTTCATAGAGTAGGGTTGACTGTTACTTTGCAGACAGGTGTATACTACATACATGCCCAGCTGGAAAAATGACTGACAGAAGAACAGACTGACTGACTGAAGGACTGACTGACTGACAAGATTAGTTTTTGACATTATACTGCCATGGTTAAAAAGAATAATTGGTAGGCTTCTATTCTTTAGGAAGACATACTCACCTAAGCTCTTGCAACTGGCAAACATTGGCACATTAATTTTTGTTTTTGTACCATTTTTGATTCAGCTTTTTAACTAAATGTATATATGAAGATAGTAAATAACATGTCTCAAAATAACAATTCCTTATTATCAGTCTTTAAACTGCTTCTGTCACTATGGTAACAAAAATAGTGCTGTTAGGGGGTAGTTCATTAGAAATCTTTTTTTGATAAAGCAATATTAAAATTATTGTTGGCATTCCTAGATATTTATAAATCAACATAAAACATTAAATTTATGTGACTGGCAGTGTGAAATATTTTCTAAGAGGAAAAATGATAAAAATCTTGGAGAGTGTTTTCTGTCTTTTTGCACAATTTCCTCTTCCTCAGTTCCAGACTCTCAATTTTGGGATCAGTTTTTATCTACATATTCTGATGGTATTCTAGTTCTGTGATCTGATCTGATACACAGGATGCACTGTGTGTGCTGTGTCGTGATACTTAGATATATGTGTCCACCATTTTAACACTTTTTAGAGTTTTATATCACGTTTCAACTAGCACACTTCACAATCTGAGGGAGATTGTTTTATTAAGATCAGTATAAATGTGTCCTGAAAGTCTGCACAAAGAGGGGGAATATCCATGATGTTGAACAATTGATGCGTACCCTGATGTTCACGGTGTATATTCTCTATTAACATTATAAACTCTGTATTTTAGTCATTGATTGGAGTGTTTTGAAGACTGAATTTCAGGGTACCCATACAGAAGATTTAAGAATTTCAATTTAAAGTTTATCTTATTAACTAAGTTGACCATATTATTGATTAAGCCTTCAAATTTTATTGTGGGATAATTTAGTGAGAAAATAGCAAGTGCTTTATAAAATATTTTTAAAATTTTCAATATGATAAAAGTGATGTTTCTCCTGTTTTTAGACCAATGCCGAGAACAACCACCGCGAGGTCCCCACGGTGGGCCGGAGACTGGAAGGGCTGATATTTGAAGATGACTTTGTGCCTCAGACCAATGGCAGCGCTACTCCTAATACTAGTCAGTCGTCCCCCAGTCAGTTACCAATATGTGAGTATAGTTGTGTATGGTAAACTTTTTGCCCCTCGCCACTGAAGTTAAATTCCAGGTCTGATTATAAAGCACTTGTCGATAATTTTACATGTACTGTAAAGGTTCAGCGAAGACTTATTTTACTAAGCATGTTTTGTATATGGTATGAAGTATGTCAGTTCTCAGATCTGTTAATGGACAGAATTCAGGATGTACATAAAAGGTTTAAATGCAGACTCTAGGTAAAGATATGCTCTATAAAGCTGTCTAAATTTGTATTTTTCAGTGTCCCCACCCCCCAGCACTGGGAAGAGACCTCATCATGGCACACCCACCTCACCAGCCAGTACTTCTAATAACCAAGGTACAGTATATATACTCTATCACACACCCACCTCACCAGCCAGTACTTCTAATAACCAAGGTACAGTATATATACTCTATCACACAGATACCTCACCAGCCAGTACTTCGAATAACCAAGGTACAGTATATATACTCTATCACACACCTCACCAGCCAGTACTTCTAATAACCAAGGTACAGTATATATACTCTATCACACACCCACCTCACCAGCCAGTACTTCTAATAACCAAGGTATAGTATATATACTTTATCACACACCTCACCAGCCAGTACTTCTAATAACCAAGGTACAGTATATGTATTGTTAACAGTCAACAGTCAGTTAACTTGTACTTTTAGTTGTTCCATCTGGCCTTGCATGGGCTTGTATTCAGTTCTTTATACCATTTTTTTAATATTATCTTTCAACTTTTTCTCTTGAATAATTTTTTTTATTATTAAAGGCACTTTAGTAATTGAAACCAGTTGGAGATAAATTTGGCCAAACACAATCAACTATTCTACTTTCTCTTTAGCCAAGTTAGAATGTATTACACATTGTTGAGAAGGGGTGAGTCCAGCCTCTAGATCTAGCATTTTATCTCAAACATATATTTCAGATTTATTGGGCTCCAACCCCTTCACCTCACCAAGCAGCAATGTATCTGGTGGAGAGGATCCATTTGGTATGGGGGCCTTCAACCCTAGCGCCAAGGACCTTGACCATGCTATCATGAAGGTTGACAAAGAACTGTTGGACTTACAGGTAATGAAAGGTTGAAATAGAACCACATAAAAATGCTAATTGAAAAATGTTTAATAGGTTCAGTTTCTTTTCCTGACTTCAAAGGAACACAGACAGTATTTTTATGTCAATCTGTTTTTTGTGTGTTTGTAAATCTATCTTGGTTTATGGAAAAAATGTATTCGTATCAGCTTACATAATTGGGCCACAGAATTTCATAAAAATTGTGACTATTTTATCATATTATATTTTATTATTGATAAATTCTGCACGAACACTTTTCCCTGAATGTTTCTTTAACACTGTCACTTTGTATGTGGATGCATATGGTTTGTTTTTGCCATGTTTTCCGTCTCCAGCATGACCAGTATAACTGCACTGTTTGTGTGTTCTTCCAGGCTGGCTTCAGTCAAGGATTGTCCTTTGGCACACATGACTTTAATCTGGATGATCTAGACCCCTTGAACAAGAAGTAAAATATAACTGTAAAAGTTCTGTCTGCTTACATTATGCATGCTGACAATTCTATCAGCAACAAAGACTTAAAAGGACTGCTGCTGTTGCAGTGCATGAGAATGGTTAAATTGAATGGGGTAACCTTGACCTTGAACACCTTAACAGGAGGCTGGTGACCTTGACCTCTGACCCATTTACTGATATCATGAACACCGACTGCTGCATTAACCAAGATTGAGGGCTGGGGATGTTTATCTTAACATGGTCAAGAAATAAAGTTGATCCTATTGCCAATCATGACAAACTGACAAGATTTCTCACTTTGTCATAATGGCCTTCAGCGGATGACCCACTGACCATTAGTGACCTTGAACTTCATGAACTTGACCTTGATAATCTTTCAGTAAATATAAGCAAGCAGAAATTCAAATCACATATCAACTGAAATGATGCTCAAGGTGTGTGAAAATGAGACCATAAGGAGGGAAGCGAGTGTCACCGTGAGGGAACCTCTTAGCAGTGTGAAACATTATCACATTAAGACAGACTACGTGGGTGCAGTTGACTTCAGAGACTTGGAGATGCCCCCTGCTGTAACCTTGTACCTCCATTGTTTACTTTTGATAGGAGATATAACAGAAATGTAAACACTTGTCCAATGCACTTACTTCAGAGGATATTTGAGTATTATAATTTCCACATTAATCAAACCATAAGCAGTATGTGTTGTAGTCATTCTGTACATTGCATAGTATGACATCCTATAAAATATCCACTTAATATATTAATATTGTCTGCATAGAGAAAATCTGCATATATTTTTGTGGAATATGTAACCTAGAGCGTAATTAGTAATAGGCTGCATTCAGAAAAGCATACTAAACTTGTCCAAATATGGCAACTGACTAAAAAGCTTGGTATCTATTCCTGTAATAGAAACTGTATAGATTTCCTGTGGGGAATGTTCAAGTGGGTCGGCCATACTTTGACACGTGGACTAGTTAGTCCCCTGTTCTGAATGTGGCCATATATTAGTCATGGGAAGCACAATGGATTGGTGGGTTATGTGACTTTGTCTGGGGGAATTCTGTAGACCACTACTACTAGTATAGACCTGAAATCTTGATGAAATTTTATGTGCCAAATGGAGATAAATATTGGAAACAGGACAGAGAAGAGCATGTCTGGTATCAAAATATGTGCAGATGAAGCAAATATCAAATTAACATGCATATTAAAACCGTAAGTTTTTAAATTATGAAATTTACATTATGTAGTTGTGGGTAGGGGCAGTCTTTATACATATTTAGGTAGCTGAGGAATGTAAACAGGAGTTGATGGAGCAATGGCAGAGTGTATAGAAATGACTGCCAGACTATGGTTATAAAAATAATGTTCCATGTTTTTTTTTTTTGCAAATGGAACTACTTTGAACTCTTTATCAAATAAAAAATTGAATCATATTAACTTCAGTGGTTTCTTTGTGAGGTAGAAGGGACTGATAAAAAATCTATGGATTTTTCTTGAGTTGGATATGTTGACAGTCAAGCAGAGCTGTCTTTAAGTGTTCATTTAGTGCTTGAAACAATATATATGAATAATGTATAGAATGCAGCTCTGACTCCCAGGGCGCAGTGTATTGTATAAAGATGAGGTCAGTCTGTGCAATATATATATATATATATATATGTAAACGACGTAGCCATGTATCACTTTATATACAATATATGTAACATGATAGATGAATACAAGTTTTAGCAGTGACCTGAGATATAAAGTTTGTGTATATGTTTTGTGTCAACAGAAAGTTAATGATTCATTCAAAACATATTAGGATGGATTAAGTCCTGTTATCTCAGCCTATTGTGAGGTTGTTTGATCTGATGTCCACACGGTCCATGAAGCAACTGTGGTCATGTACAACTGTGTCCAAATTCTGGGAAGGCAGAGGAGGTGGATCCCCCCCCCCAAACAATTACTTTATTTTTCAACAATACTTTGATCACAAACTTGATAATTAGAATCCACTATCATACGATCTTCTCTGATCCTACAAATACTGAGATGATGAAATATGTTCCTGATGACTTATCAGATTTTTGCCCAAAATAAATTTACGGCTATCTTTCACCATTATTAACCTCTGTGAATAATTTTCACGTAATAATTTTATAACTAAGACAGTTTATGAGCTAAATATATTAAACTGAGTTGCATTATGCCACTCCATTACAGAAGTCACTTTTCTTTGACATCAAACCTCAACTTGTGTCTTTGATAGAATTATTGGCATAGTTTGCATTACCAATATTAACATTCTAAGGGAGTTGTGCGCAAAAAAAAAAAAAAATTGAAAAAGAAAATATTGTGATTTTTCAATGGGTGCCTTACATTGTTGAAATATATGCCATAAAACTAGTGTTGAAATTTAGTATATACTTCTACACTTCAAAGGGCATTGCATTTTCACAAATGATGTTTATAGGCATATATTCTGTACTTGTTGATTGATGAATTTGTTCTACAACTTTTATCATAGATGCAATTTTTTTTCTTTTTTTTTTAACAATTATCAACATTATGGTGACATATAGGTGATTGGGCTACTAAGTGTAAGATTTTCTTGTTTGAATCTCAAATTTGCAACACTTTCTTCTAAAAATGCAGCTGTTTAGCTCCAGATTTGACAAAAAAAAGCCCTACAGACACTGAAGCGGTTTTAATAGCACTCTAAATATTATTTTTGATTCATTTATGTAGAATAAAAGCAGCTTTGTTGGACCTATGCAGTGTATATAGGACAAAATGCATATACATTTATATATACAACATTCTTATACATAGATATACATATCCAAGTTAGAACAGTGAATCTGCATGAACATCAATTATTATCATGAAAGGATAATTGGTATTATACCAGAAATGTCATCTCAAATGTTTGTAGTTACATAAATAGAAACTGCTACAAGTTGGATATTTGATATTTTTATTATTGTATTTCAGTAATAAAATCCCGGATTTATTTGTATTTATATAGCGAATTGATAAGGGTATAAATAAATGTCTCTGTAAATATTCATGAAGTAAAAATTACTGTATTGATGACACGACAGATGTGACCCCAAGCACACAGTTAATATATTGTCATTATCAGAAACTTAAGCAGTTTTAAAAAAATTTCTTGGAACAATTTACGAGATTAAATATGTTTATATCAAAATATATAGTGACCTTGTTGTTTTGTGCTATGAAATTATTTTGTTAAACATGCATGTAGAAGAGTTTTCAGTAAACTGGGGATCGGGGTGGGGTGGGGGGGCAGAGAACTGCTTCATTTCAGGTTCATGTATCTTGTTTGAATGCAAGAGGATTTGTTTTAAGTCATGAAAATGCATCAAGTGGCTTCAAAATAACCCGCCAGCGTTGTTTGCAAGTTGGACATCCAGATATGTGACTTTTGTATGCCATTATTGACCGTTTTCTCTTATTTACAAAACCATCTTGGTTCTAAAAGTGACCTGCATGGAAAGTTGTAACACAGTCTTTTTCTATCGCTTTAACTTTTGTTACCTGCACACAAGAATGCTTAGTACGAAATTTTCTTTTTGCAAAACACTTAAAAAACAATAGCATAACATTTAAAACATAATTTACCAATCCATATATTCAAAGTTATTTTTTATTTTTTTATTTTCAGTGTGGGAAACTTCAGTGGCCGTGGAGTGAAATTACTCCAGGGAAATTTGAATGTTGAAGTCAAGTTGTTAACACTGTATATACACGTGTACCTTAAAAAAAAAAGGCCACTGTTACAGACAAACTTACAGTACTGTTATCAGTTTATATTTTACAAAACTGGAAATAAACATAGTTAACTTGGACACAAGTTTTGAAACAAAATTCCTGCGACAACGTCAATGCATTTTCCACTGATTGGGCATAATTTTGGATTGTCAGAAAAAACTGAGAAATTCCTCGTTGGCCAACCGAACACGGGACTGTTTACAGTCATATAACCACCAATATAATTGGAAATCGAATTGATAAACAGAAAAAAAACATATTTCTGCCCCATAAGTAAGGATTTCCAACCATGAGACTGTGTGTGTAAACTGTGTAGTCTCACAAGTCACAACAAAAGTCAGAGAAATTATTGTTCCTACAGGCACCTTCCCTTCTCTCTTGTCTAATTCAAGTTTCAATGCTGAATTATCAGTGTTGGAAGTTTAAATGTTGATGTCTCAATCTTTCACCAAAGTGCTGTTTATTGTATTAACTACAGAAGACACTGTATATTATCAAGTACTAAATCTCATTTTCAAACCATTGTTTCAATCAAACATGCAGTACTATGTTCCAACTGTGAGATAATTGTTAGAACTGCACTGAGATCATTTACTTTCTTTTTTTCGCTATCAAACATCTGAACATTGAAACTGAGATGCCCTTAAATCCTCATTTTCATTTGTAAGTCAATAATAATAACTGAAGTCTACAACAGAATAAAATACTTGTTCTTCAAGAAGAAACCACTACATTCTAATGTACCAAGATCTCTTAATAGCACAATGGTTTGGTCTTGACACAGTCTAGGTTTTACTTTATTATGTTGTCTAATGTCAAGATTAGCATCTCCACCTTGATTAGTTCAAATTACAGATCTTCCAAGCTTTGTTAATGTTTTTTTTTAATTTGACCTTGTCATAGACAAAGATATGTTTATCCAAAGTGCACAAAATTACGAACTAATCATCTGTAGCACAAAATAATGAAGTTTACCACAACCCAGCTCAGCACATGAAAATGTTCTGGTATTATTCATAAAGTCTCTTCAATAACAAAACCCAAAAGATTCAATAATGAGTCATAAAAAACACAGGACATTAAGTAGAACTTGCATCTATGTCTGAAAAACTAATAAAAGATCCAGATCATGTAAAACATCATCTGCATAGAATGTTCTTTTGCTATCAAATAAAACCCATTGATCAGAAAAGAACATTCCAATAACCTAACAAAATATATTTTCCTTTCAGAATATTCTAACAAATACTTCACTGAGGTTTTGAACCAAACAACTAATGTTGTCTCACTACACGCTATACAAGGACCACTCTCTCGTAGGGGACGGGAGTCATTTTGTAAAACAATAAGTATGGCGTCTCGCAGATACTGACTTGTTTATTCAACAAGCTCTGCATGTCTTCTTCGCTTTTAAGACAAATCCTTTCATCATCACACTCAAACCAATTCCCAGAATAGTCTGGGATGTCTACTTCATTCTGGGTGTAGATATTACAGGAGTTTGCTTTCCCTGCAGTTTCTTCTCCTTTCCGTTTAATTCTCTCAGAAACGGGGCGTTGTCGCTCTGCAGATTTGACGTCCGTCTTTTTGGAGGGGTCCTTCATCTTGTGAACAGGGGGTGCTTTGACGTAGGCAGTGTAGTGACCGGAGGAGATGGAAATACCGCTGTGCATGACAACTGCATACAATTCAAATCTGGAGTGAAGTGAAAATGAATCGAATGAGATACATTCATTGTAACTCTTATCTCAAATCATTCTGTCAAATTACCAACACCCAAAAACTCTTTTTTTGCAGCTATATTTATATTTCTTTTTGACCTTCCATTCCTGGACAAACTGATTTTAATTGCAATTCTCTTGAACAAATAATGCCTAACATATTTTCTCTCTTCATTTTGAGGAGTAAAATATCTGAACCTGAAAATTTTTAAAGATCTTTATATCATTAGAATATACCTTTATTGAAAACAATCTTACAAACGACACAAGTTAACAATGGTAGGAAAATACTAGCTTGTGTTCAAAAACTTAATTACTGTCTGATCTAACTACTAAGCTAATAAGGGACATTTTCTCCTAGAATATACTCACTCATGACTGTGTTTACGACAAGGCTGTTTGCACCTGTTACTGAAGCAGGGTAAAACCAGGGGCGTGGCCACGAAATCATTCACCTTGGAGATACCACCAAATAACCTGCAACCAGACAAAGACACATAAATAACTATCATCATTAACCTGTGTATAAAATGTATCCTTGTCAAAGTTTACCTTCAAGTTACCTGCAATAAAGGAAAGATGCATATATCATAATTATTGAACTAAAGTATATATAATATGTATCCTTGGCCTTCTTGTGATATTGAAATTGAAATGCATTTATATGATATTGATACGTATTGTGAAAAACAAAACTCTCTGTCATTTAACATTACTTCTCCTGATGAAGTCTATGGGATATAGAGGAAATGTCAGAACTCACTCCATCTACCCTTCTTCACTTGACTGAATCAACAAATAGTCAAATAAAAATAAACACCTTATTTTCCTATCAACACCCGATTCTTACCCTGAGTTTGCCTCAAATCTCTTGAGATGAAGCATCAGTATCTGTGGCAGCCTGACATACTGGGTGGACCTCTCAGCTTCCACGTATCTGTGGCACTGATCGCAGAAATATTTATTATCATCCTGCAGACGTTCTATCTCTGAGAAAGCCTCCATCAACCAACTTACACTGCCAGGCTTACAGGACTCGTCTAAAATAAAGAATGGGATGGAGAAAGGTGAACATTTTTAAGGAATTTCACTCAGTGATAAATTAAACACTGGTCTAAGCTACTATCACTTGACACTGTATAATTTCCCACTTGGTATTGATGAAAATTTTGATGAAAACAGCGACTAATGAATAGCATTAGCATTTTTCTTCTTTCAAAATTATCTACTTCCCCCAGTAAAACAAGAAATTTCATGTGAAAAAAAAAAACTGCAGCTCTCACCATCTGTCTCATCATCAGTGTCCCCCTCTTCTTTCTTGACTTTCTCTTTCTTCACTGGGACCCCAATGTCCTGAAAGTCCTCCTTCCTCTGCGTGAACCCCTCACACTCCAGACATCGCGTCCTCAGGGCCATGCTGCCCTGGAACATGAATGCACAACATTGCTATCACATGACCTAATGCTGAATCATTTCAATAACATGTAAGTATATCTCCTGAATAGAGGCTATTCACCTGGATAGCCTCATTACCTGATGAAAATGTTCTCATATTCTTATGGAATGGCTTTCAAATTTATTGCCAACTGACACAACTCAAATTTTTTCTTTCAACTGTGAGATAAAACGGACAACAAGCTCATCCATGAAGTACATTTCCATCCATAAAATCTCTCACCTGAAACAAATCCTGAACCAAACAGTCCAGCTCGTTGGTCTTTCTTCTGTGAGATTTCGGCGACTTGGCCGGGGACGCCATGTACGTGTCTGGCTGGTGGGCGTCCATCTTGTCTTCTGGATCCGTGTCATCTTTATTCCCGACTCGGTCGCCATTCACAACTTTGACAATCTCAAGATCCACGTCCATGCGCCTGCCGCTCTCAGATGGTAATTCCGAAGTTTTGTTCGATTTATCACCATGTTTGGACGAGAGAGACAAATTGCCAGACTGATTTTTGGAACTGATACTGACGCCCATTTTTTCAAAAGACTGTTTAATAGTCATATTGGATTTCGTTTTTTGAGCATCTTTAGTCTCTACACCTTTTTGGTCTACTTCAGAAATGTTGGACAAATGATTACTGTCATTCCCTGACTTCCCATTAAGAGCACCAAAGAGATCTATTTTAATCTTATTAACACTGTCTTGTTTTGTCCCAGTACCACTTTCACACACAGTGCTCAGGTTTTTGTTTTCTTTCTTTGGGGAGCAGTAATTATCTATAGCATGTCTGTTTAGTTTAACCTGAGGGCTGCCTGGACTGAGTTTGGCATCTTGTACATGAGATTTTGCATACTGAGAGATCATCTCACTATCCCTGTCTGAGCAATTCCAACTCGATGAGGATGTATCTCCTGCCTTCTGCTGAGTATTTTTCTTCGGAGATTCCAAAAACGGACTCCGTTCAATCTTAACATAGGCCCCTGAGAGAAGCTTATTGTCTTTGGCCTTTTGTTTGGGGTCAATTTTAATCCCGGCTTGACAGGTGTTTTTAGAGCTCAGTGGGTCTGGTGTGGCAGTAAGTCTAACAAAGGCCGCGCTGTTCAATTTCCTGTCCTCCACAATGTCAATGTTTTCTTGGAAATGATGAGACCTGCCATTTTGTTTGGTTGGAGTCAGGGAGCTGTTGTTAGGCTCTCCGCCACCTGCAAGAGGACTGGGTTCCCTCTTAATGACTGCTCCCCGCATCCCCAGCCTCTTTTTGGCAAACATGGCAGTAATGCTTGGCTGTTTAGAATCCGAGTTTGACTTCAAAGGTTTTGGCAAGGGTTCCTCAAAACCAAGTCCATTTTCTCCACTGAAACTTTTCGACAGAACTTCCTGAGATACAGATTTAGAGTGCTTCTTTTTCTTAGACTGTCCTTTCAAAGGCACATTTTTCTCAGCGTCATGGTCAAGACAAGAATCACTTTTGCCCTTCCTGGGTCGTCCTCTTTTCCTCCCCACTATTGCACCAGCCCCATCTTTTTTCAGCACAGGTCTCTGACTGCCTGGACCCATGCTGTCATCATTTCCATTGATGTTTGCATCACCATTTCCTGCAGAAAAGACAAAAACTACGAATTTCAGAACCATTCCACAGATCTGCTCAACAAAGAAACATTTGAAAACCATAAATCTTATTCACTATTCATAATTGTTCAATATTGAACAAGCCAAGGGCAGCTTCTGGTCATAAAATAACCTGAAAGTATTGTTAACCTTTGTTGTATTTGACAGGATCAAGTCCAAAACTTGATTTTTGTCCTCCAATACATACCTGGTTACAAGAGTATGTAAAAAAAATTCACCACTCATTTATATATCTATTTATGTGAAGTGAAAAAGTATTAACTTGCTGTGCTGTTTTTTTTTTCTTTAAAAAATTGGAGACATTTATCCAGAATCTGTTATACCTTTTTTTTTAAGAGAATAATCCACCACAATAATTGAGTGATTTACAGTAATTACTCATTACATTAAGAAAGCATAAACAAATAATTTTAGTAATCTTTTAAAATGTTGATTCAAAAGTTTGGAAAAAGTTGACATTGTGAGTAAGCTATCAGAACAATGCGAGGTGTTAGAAAATCTTAAATCATCAACTTCTTATGAGCAACAACAGACACGGCTTTGTGCGTTAAGCAAAAGGAAGAGAGAAATGTATTGGGGGTGGGGCTCAAGAGAGGGGTCTGGGGGTTGCTGACGTCAAAATAATAATAATAATAATAATAATAAAGTAATAATAATAAAATAAAAAAATTAAAATTAACCAAAAAGTGATGTCAAACTTCCAATTAAAATCAGAAAAATATCACGCCTGAACAGTTCAACAGAGGTCCCCCACCTTTCTCCTGTTTCATGTCATGTCCATTCCAGTCCTGACTGGGACGAACACCAGTGATCTCTTCCACTGCATCCTCCAGACACAGTCTCTTCCTACTCCTAGGTGAGGGTGACGTCTTGGTGTCCACACCTGTCACCTTAGTGCCATCCTCCTCCTCTGTCTGTTTCACAGGGGTCACTTCATTGTTGACAGAGGTGAACTTGGAGGTGAGGTTTTTACCACCACTGACGTGTTCTATGATGTCCTCTGCAGTGTAGATCTTTATACTGGGAGATGAGTGTTTGGGAGTGTGGGGGACTTTTAACTCTTCTACTTTCCTCACTGGACTAGATTCTGAATTGATAAAAACACCAGATTAATTTTCTATTATTTAAGTCTACGTCAGCATTACATAATTAATCTTACAAAACACCTGTAAAAAAAACAGACTTAACCAAGCTGCAATATTGTAAATACAAGACGACATTCCTAACTGAAAGAAGACTTGATATAACAGCATCCAATTCAATCAGGTTAATTTCTACAAAGACCAACAAACAAGGCAGCAAAGCTGTCAAACAGACATGCATATAAATGACAAAACTAAGAGTAAAAATCTATGCTAGGTTAACTGTGTGATACATCGACAATCCATTACCTTGAGTACCATTAGCAGGTTTCTGATCTGACCTTGAACCAGCAAGGTCATGACCTTTTGACCCTAATTCATCTACTGATATTAGATTCTTCTTCACAGAATTTTTCTGGAAAAACTTCATTAAAGTTGGCTGCTTGGAATCAGGCACTGGCTCAATACTTGGCACGACCTTGTACTTGTTGACCTCTGTAGTGGCGTCCTCTATATAGGCCAGCATGCACCTGAGAACTTCATGTGCATCATGTTGGAGGTTGCCCTCAAACATGGGATTCAGGTCTCTGGTCAAGAATAAAACAACACAATAATAATCAATAAAATAAGAATATGTATATAGATATATATATTAGATATAATATTAGATATAAATATTTTAGACTTCATTTTTGTTACGTCTTCTCATTAAAATGTATCTAAGCAAATCAAAATTATTACAGAAAATTATCTTTAGATCTGAAGTACCTTTGTGTCAATTTTTCATGGTGACAAATTTGAAAGAAAAAAAAGAAATAAATTGCATACACACCTACCACCCACAACATGCATATGCACACACACACACATTTTATCTAATAAACACAAACTGTATCCCAGCTGTCTCACCTGACAATATCTAGCAATCTCTCAGGTCTTGTAAACAGAAGCTCAGTACCTGGGTTAACACACTTCTCTTCTAGACGGTCCATTCTGTTAAACAGCTGGAAAGGCACAGTGATATATGTATACTTCACCAATTTTGAATGGCACATTGTACGTAATGATCTACAATTTAATCCTATGTACACTTCCTATATATCCTATTTATGATGCAAAATGTTGTGTATTGTAAGTATGGTAAGTATTTACTAAAAGGCATTTTAAATTCATTTTACCATCTGAGAATATAAAAGGAACATTTGTAAAAAATTACATCAGCAAATGAAATGTAAACAGTTATGTAATTTACACAAGGTAAACACAATCATGCACTAATGATATGTAAAATATATACCTTGTGTAGAGTTCTCACCAGCTTCCATGGCAAGAGATCACCAGATGAACTGTCTCCCTGAAACATGGAAAAGGAAGTGACCTTAAGAGAATAAGAGGAGTCCCCCCCTCCCCCAAACCTACTACAAACTTCCTGCATCCCTCTTTGAAAACAGCCTTTTGTATTGTCTCAACACTGAACAGCCACTGCTGATAACAGGAACACACAAATCTAATGCAGAAATGCCTTAATGCCCAACTGACAAAAGTTGAGTTGAAACCAGAACAAATATACAAAATAAGAACATACTATAAGACATATTAGGACATATGAATGCAATCCCCCCTCCCCCCCAAGGAAAAAAAAAAAAAAAATATATATATATATATATATATATATATATATATATATATATATATATATATATATATATATATATATATATATATTTTTTAAAATAAATAAATAAAATATATAAATAAATATATAAATAAATAAAAATCCCAGATTGGATTAAAATAGTGCCAGTACACAGCAACATACCTCTCCACTTTTAGCCTCGGCAGCCAGTTTTCTCTCTATAACACTCAGTTCCTTGTACAGAATAGACAACTGCTGGGAGAATCCTGGCGTGTACCTCAATACTTGGAGCACACTGTTCAGGAAACAAGTATTACCTAAGAAGGACACCAAACTTCAAGAATCAGACTAAAAGGTTAAGATTTATGTTTGTATTAATTAGTGAACTGATGGTGAAGGAAAATATGCCCATGTATCTACCTTTATTATCATTATTTTTATTATTATTTTATTTTTAGTGATATCATTATTATTATTATTTAAACACAAAGGATTCCAAAATTACTCAAAATGAGAGACCCCACTGCTTATGTTGTAATACAACAAACAAAGTAAAATTAGGTGAAAACATATTGCTTAAATGTTGACAACCTCTTCAAAATATATTGGCATATGCCATTCAGGGGTGGATTGAGGCCACCTTCTGGGTCTTCCAGAAGGCAGTCAGATTTTCAAGTTTACATTGACGGGCATATAAATTTTTCTATCAGAAGACGGTAAAAAATGGAGGATGGATCAAGAAAGATAAGTTGGAAAACTGTCAAAAAATTGCTCTTGATCTGCCCTTGATATTGATATCACAGTGCTAGAACACATGCACACTCACACATGACTAATACATAAAATTAATACTTCCATTAATAACATAATATGTGCTGTGATTACCCAGATTTTCCAAGCCAGCCACTTTAGGCACCTCCTTCACCTCGAGCTCTCTACGCTCTGTAGCCTCTGTCTCAAGAGGTGGCAGCTCACTCTCCTCTTCTTCTTGGACTTTACTACAAGATACAATACAATAAGAAATCAAAACAAAGTTTAGTACTGGAATGTAACCAAATGTGAATTGCTCATGGTAATGAATGTGAACATTGTACATTTATGATTTCTGCTTGAAAACAGGTGTCGTATGTGACATTTTAAGAGTCAGAGATTATGTTTCAGTTCAGTGCAAAAATATAAAGACAATAATAGCAAATTTACATGAAAAAAGGAGAGTTCGATGATGATTACAAGGACTATAATTGATAACATAAAAAAATTATTAATATAGAAATGCTAAAGGATTATTCCTTTACAAACTAACAATTCCACCTACCTTGGAGCACCATCTCCTGTCTGGGGAGACTCACATTTTTGCTGGTCAACTTCTTCTGTCTTCTGCTCTGATTTGTTCTTTAACTTTAAGGACAGACGAGGGCGTTTTCTAACGGGCCCTTGGCCCTCACCAACTGTCATCTCACCTACTGACCTAAGATACATGATGATGATGATTTCAGGGCTCAAATGTGAAAATAGTTTCATTGGATTTCAGTTTTGATAGTCAGAAAGTTTTCATTTATTATAATTTACCTGTTTTGTCTGTTCACTCTGACAGACTTGGTCACAAGTGGATTACCTGTTCAGGTGAAGGTCAACAGGTAATTACCTCCGTCTTGATGATGACTTGTTAGTCCTCTCGCCCCCTCCCCCCCATGGGGGTTTGAGAACAGAGATGAAGGAGCGTGCAAGATGTCCCATATATATTGCGACATTCTCAAACCTATCCTGGGGGGGGGGGGTAAATCAAATATCTGGATCTATCATAAATGAAAACTTTCTGGCTATTTCAGGGCTCAACATTAAAGGTGGCCCGCTAGCCCAGGCAACTGAAATCCAATCTCATGCAGCGTGCCAGTGAATCATGGCGGGCGGGGNCTAAGTTTTTGTCAGCATTATGTAATTAATCTTACAAAACACCTGTAAAAACAGATTTAACCAAGCTGCAATATTGTAAATACAAGATGACACTCCTAACTGAAAGAAGACTTGGTATCACAGCATCCAAGTCAATCAGGTTGATTTCTACAAAGACCAACAAACAAGGCAGCAAAGCTGTCAAACAGACATGCATATAAATTACAAAACTAAGAGTAAAAATCTATGCTAGGTAAACTGTGTGATACATCGACAATCCATTACCTTGAGTACCATTAGCAGGTTTCTGATCTGACCTTGAACCAGCAAGGTCATGACCTTTTGACCCTAATTCATCTACTGATATTAGATTCTTCTTCACAGAATTTTTCTGGAAAAACTTCATTAAAGTTGGCTGCTTGGAATCAGGCACTGGCTCAATACTTGGCACGGCCTTGACCTTGTACTTGTTGACCTCTGTAGTAGCGTCCTCTATATAGGCCAGCATGCACCTGAGAACTTCATGTGCATCATGTTGGAGGTTGCCCTCAAACATGGGATTCAGGTCTCTGACCAAGAATAAAACAACACAATAATAATCAATAAAATAAGAATATATAGATATATATATTAGATATAATATTAGATATAAATATTTTAGACTTCATTTTTGTTACGTCTTCTCATTAAAATGTATCTAAGCAAATCAAAATTATTACAGAAAATTATCTTTAGATCTGAAGTACCTTTGTGTCAATTTTTCATGGTGACAAATTTGAAAGAAAAAAGAAAGAAATTGCATACACACCTGCCACCCACAACATGCAAACACACGCACACACATTTTATCTAATAATTTTATCAAATTGCCTTTTAGTATCAGAGCTGAAAGTGACTATAATACTTTTAAAGCCTGTCTTAAAACTCATCTTTTTAAAGAATTTTATGGTTAGTGTTCCTTTAAACCTTTTAGTTGTTTATCATTTATTAAGAGTGAGCTTGGGTTAATTTTAGTAGTATTTTAAAGTTATATCAATAAATTTTCTCTGCTTTCTATAATTAATTAATTTTATCAGTAAATGTTAAAGTATTTTAGTATTGTTATTTTTAGACTTTTTAATTATTTGTAAAGTGCATTGAAATGTAAAAAATGGAATGCGCTATATAAGAAATAAATATTATTATTATTATTATTAAACACATAAACAATATCCTAGCTGTCTTACCTGACAATATCCAGCAATCTCTCAGGTCTTGTAAACAGGAGCTCAGTACCTGGGTTCACACATTTCTCTTCTAGACGGTCCATTCTGTTAAACAGCTGGAAGGGCACAGTGATATATCATATATCATATATGTATACTTCACAATTTTTGAATGGCACATTCTACGTAATGATCTACAATTTAATCCTATGTATACATGTATGTATATTCTATTTATGATGCAAAATGTTGTGTGATGAAAGTATGTCATACCACTTTATTTACTAACAGGTATTTCCAAATTATTCTAACATCTGAGAATATAAAAGGAACATTTGTATAATATATAATAAGCAAATGAAATGTAATTGGGTAATTTACACAAGATAAACACAATCATGCACTAATGATATGTGAAATATACCTTGTGTAGAGTTCTCACCAGCTTCCATGGCAAGAGATCACCAGATGAACTGTCTCCCTGAAACATGAAAAAGGAAGTGACCTGAAGAGAATAAGAGAACCCCCTTCCCCCAACTATACAATGCCTGTATCTCTGTCTACAAAAAAACTTGTATTTCCTGTCTCAGCAGATACTACTGATAACAGATAAACACACACACACATTTCAAATGCAGAAATGCCTAAATTCCCAATTGACAAAAATTAACAAATTATACTATACATAATCAGGCATACATATAAAGTGCACCCCCCCCCCCAAAAAAAAAAAAAAAAAAAAAAAAAAAAAAAAATTAAATGAAAATCCCACACTGGATTCAAGTAGCACCAGTACATAGGACCATACCTCTCCAGTTTTAGCCTCGGCTGCCAGTTTTCTCTCTATGACACTCAGTTCCTTGTACAGAATAGACAACTGCTGGGAGAATCCTGGGGTGTACCTCAATACTTGGAGCACACTGTTCAGGAAACAGGTATTACCTAAGAAGGACACCAAACTTCAAGAATCAGACTTAGAGTTTAAGATTTATGTTTGTATTAATTAGTGAACTGATGGTGAAGGAAAATATGCCCATGTATCTACCTTTATTATCATTATTTTTATTATTATTTTATTTTTTAGTGTTATCATTATTATTATTATTTAAACACAAAGGATTCCAACATTACTCAAAATGAGAGACCCCACTGCTTATGTTGTAATACAACAAACAAAGTAAAATTAGGTGAAAACATATTGCTTAAACATTGACAACCTCTTCAAAATATATTGGCATATGCCATTCAGGGGTGAATCGAGGCCACCTTCTGGGTCTTCCAGAAGGCAGTCAGATTTTCAAGTTTACATTGACGGGCATCTAAATTTTTCTATCAGAAGACGGTAAAAAATGGAGGATGGATCAAGAAAGATAATTTGGAAAACTGTCAAAAATTGCTCTTGATCTGCCCTTGATATTGATATCAAAGTGCTTCAACACATGCAGGCCTATGCACACACACACATGACTAATACATAAAATTAATACTTCCATTAATAACATAATATGTGCTGTGATTACCCAGATTTTCCAAGCCAGCTACTTTAGGCACCTCCTTCACCTCGAGCTCTCTCCGCTCTGTAGCCTCTGTCTCAAGAGGTGGCAGCTCACTCTCCTCTTCTTCTTGGACTTTACTACAAGATACAATATAATAAGAAATCAAAACAAAATTTTTATAAGTGCTGGAATAATGTAAACGAGTGTGAATGTGCATGTTGTACATTTATGATTTCTGCGTGAAAACAGGTGTCGTATGTCATTTGATGTGACATTATACGAGTCGGAGATTATGTTTCAGTTCAGTGCAAAAACATAAAGACAATATATAATATAGCAAATTTACATGAAAAAGGAGAGTTTGATGATGATTACAAGGACTATAACTGATAACATAAAAAAAATTATTAATATAGAAATGCTGAAGGATTATTCCTTTACAAACTAACAATTCCACCTACCTTGGAGCACCATCTCCTGTCTGGGGGGACTCACATTTTTGCTGGTCAACTTCTTCTGTCTTCTGCTCTGATTTGTTCTTTAACTTTAAGGACAGACGAGGGCGCTTTCTAACAGGCCCTTGGCCCTCACCAACTGTCATCTCACCTACTGACCTAAGATACATGATGATGATGATTTCAGGGCTCAAATGTGAAAATAGTTTCATTGGATTTCAGTTTTGATAGTCAGAAAGTTTTCATTTATGATAGATCCAGATATTTGATTGGCCCAGGCAACTGAAAACCAATCTCATGAAGTGTGCCAGTGAATCGTGCAGACATGATGAAATCTACTCAGAATGGTCAGACATTTGGACCGGCAGTAAAATTTGCCGGACCGAATGGATTTTTGTCAGACCGAAAATCACCCTATTCATTTGAGACAGACACTACCAGTATGATTAGAGCGCTTACTTTGTTTGTGCATGTGCTACGTTTGAAATGGAAGGGGAAAAAAGCTTTTAGTCTTATATAATTTTATTAGTTAAGTATGTCGAATGATGACTGTAAATTCAAAATTGCAGCTCTTAAAACTCTTGTCAGTCCTTTGGACTGACCAAGTCCAATTTTTTACCGGTCCAAACAAATTTTGCCGGTCATGACTGATCAGACCGACAGTTTCAGCATGTCTGATCATGGTGGGCAAGTGGATAGCCGATTTGGGAGTTGCAGACCGCTAGAGGAGAAAAAAGTAAGTGTCAACTCAAGCCCTGTATTTACCAGGTCACTACATCAAAGCCATATGTGACATGATCATATACATCTCTTAATATTAGTTGTGTACTAACTAACTTACTATAACTCTTAAAAATGGGCTAATCTATAATTAGTTGTATACTCATTAGTCAATGAGGTGCATTAAAAACGTTGAATTAACTGACATGATGAAAAATTAGCTCCACTAAAGACATACTTGTTAGATAAAATAATTGCTGTATGTTTCGTTAGAAGAGAACGGTGAACAGATAAAAAAGTAAATGTGAATTTTGTCGAAAATTAAAAAAAAAAAGCCTGCAAATTTATCTGGCTCAACTGCGATTATCAACAAACCCATCAGATCATATCTGAGTATGTCTATGATAGTCGCTCAACAGTTTTTAAATAATACCCGTCGACAACATATCGTTACCTTTTAAGTCTTTGAAAGAACGAAATCATTGGACACTGTCAATTCATGATTTCAGAAAAAGTTGCCGCCATCTCCCTTTCATGTGACGTAGAGCTCAAGAAACAGTGTTATTTAATTTCGATCTTATCTGATTGAAAAATTAATATCATTTTTAATAAAAAACTATTTTTATTCTACAAAATATCTTATTTTATTTTTATTGATATTTTTATACGAATTTATATCATCACATATATAATGTACATTTTTAGTATTAATCGAAAATATAGATAAGTGGTTCCTGAAGGTCAATTGAAGGCCGTCTATGGCGTGAAACTTGAAAAAAGGTTGTCATTGTAAGTTTCCGATTAAATGAAGTGAAATTGAGCGGCTTTACATTTACAAGTCAAGAAAATGTGAATTTTTGTGTTTACTCAAGGTTGTGATGGTCATTTGTTTACAGCTTAATCCGATGAGTTAGACCATAAATTGACCTTCTGTTACTACTGTTACTACTACTTGTAAGGAAGAATGATACTAGTTACATTTTTGATGATGCACTTTAGAGACAAAAGTGCTCAGAAACATACATTGACTGGACATAACCAGCTATTTAAACACACGTGTTCCCACTACGAACGAGCTTCAAAGTCAGGATGTCTCCCTTGGCAAACATTTTTTTCAAGTGTATGTGTAATACAGTATATATATATATATATTTTTTTTTTTTTTTGGGGGGGGAAACCGTATGTAGACACTAAATGAAAATGTTGGTGTTTTGAGGTAAAAATACTGCAACGCCGGATGTTTAAAAAATCATTCTTCATTAATAGTCGAACATCTGACTTAATGCTTTGAAAGTCGGGTAAAAAGGTTGTAGTNGTTTGAGGAGGTGATAGCTACATGTAAATAATGTTGTATTTTTCAAATTTCCCAGCTTGAATTTACTTTACCATAAATTTTATTGTATATACACACGTCATTAATTAATAACAGATAAAAACAAATGTACAACATGTTTCCTATTTCAGTCAATAACTAAAACAAGATGAGTAAGCGGAAACCCAAGGCTGCTGCCAAACAATCTGCTAACAGCATAGAAGAAGTACAGCAGTTGCTGAGAAGACGTGTATATGGTCATGACCTACCTATTGAGATCATTGGGCTAGAGCAGGAGAGGGGGTAAAACTACGGAGAGTGGTGTTGGGGATTGGATATGGGGGATGGGGGGGGGGGGACCCAACAATTCTGACTCTAGCACTCTTATTCAATTTTGACAATTCAACTTTGTAACATGTGATACATTTGGAGAGAAATATGTGAGAAAAATGAAGTATTTCTTCATTTTGGCCAAAATATCTGATGTCAGCATATGCTGCATATTACTTAAAAGACTTGATATNTCCATTTCGGCCCATTTCTATCCATTTCTATGTTTTAAAGGACCGATGGCGGGCAAGTGGATAGCTGATTTGGGCAAGGGAGTTGCAGGAGAAAAAAGCCCTGTATTTACCAGGTCACTACATCCAAGCCATATGATCACATACATATCTTAATATTAGTTGTGTACTAACTAACTTACTATAACTCTTAAAAATGGGCTAATCTATAATTAGTTGTACTCATTAGTCAATAAGGTATAAAAACGTTGAATTAACTGACATGATGAAAAATTAGCTCGACTAAAGACATACTTGTTAGATAAAATAATTGCTGTATGTTTCGTTAGAAGAGAACGGTGAACAGATAAAAAAGTAAATGTGAATTTTATCGAAAATTAAAAAAAGGCCTGCAAATTTATCTGGCTCAACTGCGATTATCAACAAACCCATCAGATCATATCTGAGTATGCCTATGATAGTCGCTCAACGGTTTTTAAATAATACCCGTCGACAACATACTGTTACCTTTTAAGTCTTTGAAAGAACGAAATCATTGGACACTGTCAATTCATGATTTCAGAAAAAGTTGCCGCCATCTCCTTTTCATGTGACGTAGAGCTCAAGAAACAGTGTTATTTAATTTCGATCTTATCTGATTGAAAAATTAATATTATTTTTAATAAAAAACTAATTTTATTCTAAAAAAGATCTTATTTTATTTTTATTGATATTTTTATACGCAATTTATATCATCACATATATAATGTACATTTTTAGTATAATCGAAAATATAGATAAGTGGTTCCTGAAGGTCAATTGAAGGCCGTCCATGGCGTGAAACTTGAAAAAAAGTTGTCATTGTAAGTTTCCGATTAAATGAAGTGAAATTGAGCGGCTTTACGTTTACAAGTCAAGAAAATGTGAATTTTTGTGTTTACTCAGGGTTGTGATGGCCATTTGTTTACAGCTTAATCCGATGAGCTAGACCATAAGTTGACCTTCTGTTACTACTGTTACTACTAGTAAGGAAGAATGATACTAGTAACATTTTTGATGATGCACTTTAGTGACAAAAGTGCTCAGAAACATACCTTTACTAGACATAACCACCTATTTTAAGTGTTTCCACTACGAGCTTCAAAGTCAGGATGTCTCTCTAGGCAAACATTAATTGTTTTCAAGTGTATGACTAATAACTATTTTTTTTTGGGGGGGGGGGGGGGATAGATACATGTAAATAATATTGTATTTTTCAAATTTCCCGGCTGAAATTAACTTTACCATAAGTTGTTTTGTATGTACACACTTTATTAATTAATAACAGAAACAAATGTACAACATGTTTCCTATTTCAGTCAATAACTAAAACAAGATGAGTAAGCGGAAACCCAAGGCTGCTGCCAAACAATCTGCTAACAGCATAGAAGAAGTACAGCAGTTGCTGAGAAGACGTGTATATGGCCATGATCTACTCACTGAGATCATTGGGCTGGAGCAGGAGAGGGGGTAAAACATCGGGGAGTGGTGGTGGGGATTGGATGTGGGGGGGGGAGGAGATGTCTGACTATTCTTACTCTAGCACTCTTATTTAATTTTGACAATTCAACTGTGTAATGTTCACAGTATGTGATACATTTGGAGAGAAATATGTGAGAAAAATGAAGTCTTTCTTCATTTTGGCCAAAATATCTGATGCCAGCATATGCTGCATATTACTTAAAAGTCTTGACATTTTATTTTCAATCTAGTGAGTCAATGTACTTGTATTTGCTCTGCCCCTTCATGATTTTACATAAACATTACAATTTTGATTTTACTGAGCATGTAAGACTATTTGTCTGGATTTGGTAATCACCTCAACAGGTTTTTGATTAGTTTCACTTCGTCAAAAATTTTGATTTAAGATTAATTTTTGTAACATATTGTTTTAGACAATTTCATGAAAAATATTACTATTTTATCTGGTCCAGTGTGCTGTTAGACTTGGTAAAGAGGACGGCCACTTTGGGAGAGAGCAACTCAGTTCTGATTATAGGACCCCGCGGAGCAGGGAAATCCATGGTTGGTATTTGTGAAGATCAGTTTAAATCTAAAGATATTTATAATTTTTTAGAATTATACCAAATATTTGCCAATATCTGCAGTCCACTTAATTTCTTTTATGCATTAATCTGTTACAAAACAGTATGAATAAAGGCTCCAGATAATCAATTATAGGAAATAATTATAACTTTATAAAGCCTAAAGCATGGGATGGGTTGGGATGTTTGTGGTTTGAGTTACATTGAAATCAAGCATGTTAATGCACAATCGATGGAGCAATCACAAGGATGGTTTGAAACAAAAAATCAGTTTTACAATTCAAATAAAAAGCCCATTGCATAACAGTGTTAAAGTAAATGAAAGAATGGTCTAAACTGCCAATTTATAAACTGTGTGAAATATGTCTGAGTGAATGTGTTCAAATCAATGTAAGTGTTCTGTTTGTATTTGAAGGTTCTCAGCAGTGTGTTAGAGGAGATCAATCAGCAGAAAGATGTGAAGGAAAACTGTATGCAGGTGACTTTAAATGGTAAGTGCTCAAAGAACAGGTAGCTCATCCTCTAGAGTGCTGTCCTCTAGTGGAGGGGGTGTCATTCTCGATGGTAGTTGGTTGTGATTGATCTTTTGTCACAAACTATTTTTACGTTGTAAAAAAACAATCGGACATTTTCGTCAGTCATTTTAGTGTTGGCAGTTCTAAATGCTTTTACACTGTGCCACAACTTGGGTTGTATGCTCTCCAAGGAGGGAAGATCTGTTCAGGATTGAGCAGATCCATAAATGCCAGGTGTAAATTGTTCAGTATTGCAGGCTTCTTTTGCTTACATGGGAACATCAGGCTTTAATTAACCCAATATTACTTTGCCCTGTTTCTGGTGAAAAATGGTATCACAATATCATATAATATAATGTAATGTGTGTTAAAGAAATCACATACTAGTGGTTTCCTTGCTGTCAATTACAATTGTAATCTTTGAAAAAAAATTTTTGTAAAATCATTTTCCATCAGATTCTTTGACTGACAGACTGATCATTCTTTCAGGTTACCTTCAAACAGACGACAGAATAGCACTGAAAGAAATCACCAGGCAGCTGTATCTGGAAAACACGGTGGGAGACAAAGTTTTCGGCTCGTTTGCTGAAAACTTACAGTTCTTGTTGCAGGCCCTGAAGAGCGGAGGTCAGCAGAGCAAACCCATCATCTTCATACTGGACGAATTTGACTTGTTTGCACATCATCGCAATCAAACTCTGTTATACAATCTGTTTGACATAGCGCAGTCCGCCCAGGCTCCAATCTGCGTCATCGGCTTAACGTGTCGCCTAGATGTGATTGAACTTTTGGAGAAGCGTGTTAAGTCCAGATTTTCTCATCGCCAGATATATATCTTCAATAAGCTGACATTTGAGGAGTATTTAAGGGTTTTTAAACTATCTTTATGTTTGCCAGTGGATTTTGGAGATTTAAAATTTGTGCAGACTTGGAACAAGAATGTTGAATCACTTGTCAAAGAAGCCTCTTTGCTGGACGTGTTAAAAAGACTGTTTGAAACCAACAAAGACATCAGGACCCTGAAATCCCTTATGGTTAGTTATTTAACTTTTTTTAAACAATTTGTGTATCTATTTATTATTTTCATCATCCAAAAATAGGAGTTAAAAAGACGGTAGTCCACCATCAGGCTCAACTTACTTGTACATGTATTCATTGAAAAAAAATTGTTTTCCTAAAAACTTTGGGAAAGTGATGCTCAGTTGCACTCACCTTTCACACCCATGTCAAGTGTGTAATATGTATTCTCAGACTGCAACATATTGTCATCACTTTTCTTGGGGACTACAGAGGGGGAAAGGGGGGGGGGAGAACATCATCTCCTAAATACTGCATCACACTGTTAGTTGACCTGTGGTCAGCCAAACTTTGTTGTCATGGACTTGACCAGCTCTCTAAAACTTTGGTCATTGGTTCCAGACTGTCCCTGTTTGCCGTCTGAGCAGCTCTCACCCAAACCTGGAGGCCAGTGATTTCATCGACTCCTGTCGTTTACTCACACAAGATTCTAAGTCTAATATTCTTCTTGGTAAGCTATATTTATTATTGTTTTTATTTTTGCAAACAGTATATTGGATATGAAATATCACTTTTGTTCCTTGTTATTTGTTGAGTACGTGCAAATCAGGTAAGCAAATCAAGTTTCTCCTATTGTCAGTTTGCTATGTCAGTAGCATCTCTTCATTTGTTGCAATTTTGATTTCTGAAGGCTTTTACAAATGTTAACATAATTTTCTTCCACAAGTTAAAAATTATATGCAGTGAAATTAATTCACTTTGAAGAAGTTAACCTATCGTTGGTGTCATAAAGAATAATTATGTATTTGAAATACATGGAGCCATAAGACTACACACACAGCAGTAGCAATTTGAATAGTTTGAAAACCATATTTATTCCTACATAATGGAACAGTGCATTGATATGTCCTTAGCTGTGTTGATGGTAGGTCATCATCCTAGTTAAAAGAATTCACTTTGATCGGCAGCAGCAGTAGTTCGGCCCACAGTGTTGACCTCCACATGTGTCGTAGCGATGGGTCTTCAGCCCCAGGGTGTCGGTGTCCATGCTGGGGTTTGGAGACAGGCGCTGGGCACTGTACACATGAAGGGCATTAAAACACTCCAGTCTGCAACAGATATTTATTTCTTTAATTGAGGATATGATTCTTGAATAATATTGGTGTATAACCTGTGTATTAATTTTCATTTAAGAAACCTTGGGGACATAAGGTCATCGTTTACAAAGTTGTTGTAAGCAAATAATTCTCTTTTTCATTTAGAAATTATTTTTTAAATGGAATGTGTCTCAGTAATTGAAAGGAAGAAATATTCTCCTTCAAAATATATCTGAATATTATATCAGTCTCGTATGTGTTTGATAAAGTTAAAGGGATAATAACTCTTCATATGAAATCTATATTTCACAATAAAAACATTGTAAACAACTCATAGAAATATAATATATTCTGTTTTACCAAAAAAAATGGCAGTTATAGCTATTATTTTGATATCTGAACTTGTCATTGGACCACGTGACCTCCATAGATGGCTATACTCTGTAATAATCTCTTAAGTGATTATTACAAAACAACAAACTTTTTGGAAAAAAAACAGGGATTAACTTTGAATGTAGAAATGGATTCATTAACCATTGGTAAGTATTGGAAAATTGTTGTTTACTCCAGGAAAATTCATTTTTTGGCCAAAACAAACAATTATTATCTCTTTAAACTGAAGATAAATCCTGAGACTGTTCCTACCCATTAGCCTTCACTTGGCCATCCTGATTAGAGAGTGCTCTGTTTGCACACACAGCTGAGCAGGGCGGAGCCTTGTCACTGCAGACCCTGCGGACAGCGTACACCCAGCCACCTCTGGCATTGAGGGCTGCGCATGACGCTTGTGCAAGGATGTCTCGGTAGTAGTAGAAATAGGGAATGTCAGCAGCTTGGAAAAGAACGCAGAAATATTTGTTTATGGTCAGAGAACCCAAGTTTGGAATATATCTCAAAGAAGATCTTAAATTTGGGCTTGTCTCAATTTAGTAATGCATATGAAGTTGAAATCACTTACTAATATCAGTGAGGTTTTTGACTTCCTGTTTCATGGTGGAGAACTCGGAGAGATAAGCCTGCATTGCGGTCTTCATCAGCTGGAGCTCCTGCCCTAGCTGAGTTATCTGACCAGAGAAGGTGGACTTCTCCTGGGTCAGGTGGTAGTTAGCATCTTGACAGGCCTCCACCTAAGAATCATGTACATGTTTATTAATATGACTGCATTTTAAAGTCTTTGTCTCTCACGCGATTATGGGCATTTGACTAATTGAGCAGATAGTTTACTTTTTCTAATAAAAAAACATTTTATTGTTATTTATGTATAATTTTAAAAATATTTAATTATTTTTCTAAAGGAAAGATAATACATTTAATGGGCAATGTGTCCAAGAATATAAGTGTATTTTTTATTAACTCTAGTTTTCATTCTATAATTTGTCAGTATTTACAGAAAAAGTACAATTTGAATTATTACATTGAAGGACTTTGAAATTTATTTTTATTATATTCTGGATATGCCTCTAGATGAGTATTAACCCCTGAGCAGCAGTCAACTAAAATATCTTCACCCTGGTTTTGACTGTTATTGTTAAAATTGGTTATTGATACAATTAATGCATACTTACATCTTTCTTTACCTGGTCCAGTTCTTCCTCCAGCTCTGTAGTTCTTGGTGTCTCTGTTGGCTTTCCATCGCCAGTGTTGTTACACACCGGGTTGCCCACATTAACATTGATCAGGAGCAAAAAGATTCCCAGGATCAACAGCTTCATAGTTCTCTTATGATGAGGATGTCCTTAATGCCAGCTTGTTTGCTGAAGTTTTGCCTTTATAGGATGTTATGACTTGGATCTAGAAGGATTTCCTCTCTGTTGTTGAGTGATGTCCATGTTTGATATCATGTTTATTTGCCTGTGATAAGATATTCCGTCTGGATTAGGAGTTAGTGATGACTTTAGAAAGATCTTACTATAAAATTGGTCAGTGTAACTTTATTGTAAGAGTATTAATGCAGTCTTTGCATCAAGTTCAAGATTGTCTGACTTAGAATATATTGGGATAAAGGAGGCTCAGGAAGTCCAACATTTGTCCCCTTGCTCCCCAGCACGCTCTTTGACCCCCCCTGCCCCCCTCCCACCCCAATAGGAAAACGCTGTGTGTGGATAATGCAAGGTCAGGGCTGTCTTCTTTTATCAAAGTAGTGTCACACGGTATAATTGACCACTCGTTCATATATCTTGGGTTGACTCTGTTTGAGTACTAGTCGTACCATCCCCATCACCCAGCATGCCCTGTTTTATATGATATACACACATGCAGCCAATCCCAGGTGTTGAATACGATGATATCCAGTACCAGTAATGAAGATAACTCGTTCGTCTTGATCCCTTTCTATATTTGCGTAGTTTATACAAACTTTCAGCTTGGCAATGTTTCTGGTTACTTTTCCCACACTGATATGTGTTACTTGTACCAGGAAACAGTTTATAGTTAATGTACTTTATCATTGGATGTTTATGTCCAATTTTCTTTCATCCTTTCAGTTCTTTGTTACTCAATATTTTAGTAGGTATAAGAGCATGATTAGTAGTTGTTTGGTATTATTATTGATTTTTTTTTTTTTTTTTGAAAACTTTCCACTAGTTTTTACTCTTTTTAGCCTATGTCCTTGTTGCCACTATTTTTTTTTTTTTTTTAGATCACAAAGAAAAGACTTAGATTTCATTTAGATAATGCACTGTTCTTGTCTCTTTTTTAGGCATATCCATTCTTGAACTATGTCTCATAATAGCCATGAAACACCTGATGGAAATCTACGACGGTGAACCTTTCAACTTTGAAATGCTCTACAACGAATACAGAAAATATGCAGAGAGGCGCTCGTCCATGCAGATGTTTGACAGACAGGTTGTCATGAAGGCCTTTGAGCACTTGGTGGCTTTAGAACTTGTCCGCCCCCTGGATGGGGTAGGAAGTAAGACGCAGAAGGAGTACAGGCTCATGTCTCTTCTGGTGGAGCCCGCGCAGTTGTCAGAGGCTCTACAGAGATACCCTGGATGTCCCACTGAAATAAAGCAGTGGGCACAAACAGCAGTGTTAGGTTGAAATAGGATGGTTTTCAGGGTGCTGAGTGGGAAGAGATTACTGCAGAGAAACTCTGGATGTTCTTTACATATTCAGTCCTGAGTGTGGAATTGAAGGTGTGGAATTCAGGCTGGTTAAAGTGGATGATGTTGCTGCCAAAATTACCTGGATGGCTTACGAAAATAATCATCCCAAAATTTTTTTCATTGACCTCCTCGGGCCTGAAGGGAGTAAATATACTGACTTGAATAAATTATGCCTGTTTAATTAGAACCAAGTTCATTGATAATATTACCTTTTCTGATATGCAACGTATTCATCAACATTTGTTCAATTTGTGGATATCTCCAAAAAGTTCTTCCAAAATAAATAAATGAATAAATAGATTACTTTCTGATTTTGTTATAATTTTTCACAAAAAATGAGATGGGGGAAAAATTAATTCTTAGAAAAGGAAATTGAAAAATAAGTTTATGACATATATAGACACTTCAGTTGACACTATAGGAAAATTTGCAATTTTTTTTTTTTTTTTTTCAAATGAGTCAAGATGTAATTAAAAAGCCATGAGTTATTTTCCAAACTCTAAAGGTTTATTGACGGCTATGATATGAACCAAAAGTGCCTTTCTATTTATTTGATCCCTCAGTCGACTCATATCAGTTTCTTTGAAATAAGGATGTTTGAATGTGATAGAGGAGATTTGGATTATCTGCTCTAACACATTTAATGTCAGTTTTCCATCACAATGTGCTAGCATACGTGATCACCATTACAACAATTTTTCAAAACTGTTTTGTTAAATTTATCAACAGGGTTGTTCCACTTTAAATAGTTTCAGTGCATGTTTTGTTATGTTCATTAATAACAAACAGCAGCTTTCTTTTGTAAAAAGAATAGAATCCATGCAAGTGAGTTTATTTTGATTGTGAAATTTGTGATCTCTTACTTTGACAAAATGTAGACTACGGCTAGGCAAATCTGGTTCATAATTTTTTATTTAGTTTGAAAAAAATTCAAATAAAAGGGATAATGATTGATTATATGATAGTATCGATTTTTACTTTGATACAGTGTGAAAAAATTAACACAAATATATACAACTTAAATTATACAAAGGTGTCTACTCGCACGCCGCCCCCCCCCCTCCGCCCCCAATCCTCACGGTCATTTTAACCTCCTGGCTTTGTCAATAAGTGCAAAATCACAGGTGATTTCCACGAAAAAAGAGGAATATTCATTACTGGAAATCTTGACATAACATTGTATTTATTTGTATCATTTCATTTTTTGCAGACATTCTTCTGTAAAGATCTGTAAATGAACCCCTGTAGAAGTCTAGGTATACATTGTTTATTGTCATGTAAGGTCTGCATTGATGGGTGCGTGATGCATGCTCCTTTGCGTGCGTAAACAAAAAAAAACGATTTTCTTTTGCGTAATACAATGTTATGTGCGATTCCCGCATTTGATTATATTTCTTATCCGAAAAAGGGAATTATTTGGCCCCGGAAGGTGAATCCCTGAATGGAATTCTGGGAAAAAGTATATGACGTCACGCCAGGTTTAGTCTGCCATGTTTAGTGATTCATGTCAGCTGAGATCGTGAAAGCAATGAACTCAGTCATATAATTTCACTGAAAATTGAAGAAAGCACAATAGCTGAAGATCTCAGGCAATTAACTTGGTTATTTGCAAGCAATAGAGCGAGTTGTTAGCTTGAAGCACTGAGGAATTCCAGGTAATTTTGCACATTTTCCAGCCTCGATCGCCGGGGCAGTCATTTTCAATGAATGGAAACCGAACCAAAGTCAGTGTCCTGAAGGAAGTCGTACATGGGCGTCCGAGATAACGCCAAGTTTGATTATATAGATGAATTACCATTGTTTACTGGAATCATTAACGTAAAATATACTTGTTGTCTTCAAAGAATTTATTTCCTTTTTCATTCTGTACCGTAATGTTTTTGTGGTTGAGAAAATCATTGAGTTGGGACTGTTCCGGCTACATTTTTCTTGAGGGTCGCAAAAACTCCTTATGGCAGTGTCTTCACACCACCAAGTGATCCACTGACAAGACGTTAACAGGACACCATGAGCGACAATACTATTTTTTTATGCCTCAAAAGTCGCATAGTTTTGCATATGTAATCTTGATCATAATCCTTGGCTTTGTTTTAAGTTAACCCAAACAGCAGCAGCAATTTTCATGTTTCTCAATTGGAAATGAATTATATTGTATTGATATAGCAATCAGCCAAGCCAGGCCTCTTTAGTATGACTTGTTCAGCTTTAGATTAATTGTACACATGCTATATTCTCATTTAGCCTTATTCCAGATAGAATACAGCCTTAGAAGGGAGTAGGGAGTGTGTTATTAATTGAATTTTAAACTACACTGATAGAAATGTACTTCAGATTTTGAGGTAAAGACTTATCAATATTTTTTAAGGGTTATAGAGAGATTTTGTCATCAAGACAGCTTTATGTAAATTTCAGAAGTTGATCGATATGATAATGAGCATTGCACTGCATCTGTTTATTGGCGTGTAATACCAGGTGATTACAAAAAAAGCATGGAGACCATTAGCCTATTATGGATAATTTGGATTCATTACATAACTGAGAACAGAATGCTAGAACATCAGACTCATAGATGAGCAATAATCTTCCATAGATGTTTTGAATTGACATCACTATATTTCACATTTGGGTTGGCTTGGACAGCACGTGTTTAAAAGCTTTAGTTTATATTCCATTGTTACTTTACCATGGCAACAGTAGGTTATAAGCTTTTTTTAAGCTTTTATTTTCACCTTCTGAAATGTCGCTTTGATCTGTTGAATCATACTTAAACTGTCATTTCTGCCACTTTTCAAACATTCCAGCATGTACATATTGTCAGGAAGAAGATGTCTGTCACTTCCACAGCACTGGTTTAATAGTTAACTGTTTAGTAATTTTTGTTATAAATGTATAGATGAAACGTGAGCTTTTCTTGAGATCGCTGGTCACATTGTGGCATTAATACTTACAGCAATACAATACCTATTTTCAGGTCTAAAAGAAGTAATACAATCTCTACTTTCCAGGTAAAAGCTGAGCTGTTTTTAGCATAGCCTTAGGTGCTGCTGGTTGACGTTTCATCAGTGATGAGGCATGCCAGCATGTCACGCCACTGTTTGAAGTCATTGTGCATTACTGTGACATTGAAGACAAGTAGAAACTCTGTGCCAGATACTTGTCCAAGAACACTGTAACTTGTAAGAACACTGGAGAAGGCAATTTGAAAAAAAAAGTAGGCAGTGTTTAAAAGCCGTAGTTAAAAGAACCACAGAATACCAAAAAATTGATTATATATTTTAACACTGAAGACCTGCAGTCGCTAGTGGCATAGAAATAATTTAGAGCAATACGATCCCCACTTGTTGCCTTTAAGGACAGATGAAATGTTGGCATTATGGGTTTTTAGAAATCAGCTTCCGTGTTTGAAACAGAATTCCTGCAGGGGAAACGGTGTTATGTATCTGTATAATGGATGCACAAAGCCTGGAATTGAATGTGTCAGGGCCTGTTTTATGCATAGAATCATTATATTGAAGTTAATGGCATTCTTAGTTTTTCCTTGATTATTATTGATTATTATTACCTTCCTAGATAATAAATAAAGTAAAAAGTAGTAGTTACCAGTGTTGGTAAAAAAAATAAATTTTTTTTGATACTCTAGTATCCTCACCAATTCTAAATAAAATGCACACAGCCAATGTACATGCAGGAACAAGGAAGATTCAGTGTCAGCAGTATAACATCTAACCAGGCAGTTATTATAAATTTCAGAGGTCCATCCGCCAGCAGCTTAGGGCTTGTACCCATTCTGCGTAGATCGATTCAACTGTGCGGTGTCTCTTGCTGAATGCAAAGGGGGGGGGGGGGGGGGCTTAAAAATGAAATTAAAAAAATATTTACAAAATTAATAAATTTCAATGATGTTTGTGGTTGAGATATTCTCCCCCATGCCTGACACTGCTGGAGGTTAGACAAAACTGTTACCAACACAGTGAACTCATCATCATCATCCTTGGCCCTTGGGTGGGTTGGGAGTAGCAGTAGCAAAATAAGATTCCATCATTATCACTAGAGCACTGAAATGAAGGTCAGTGAAAACTGTAGTATTGATGGATTCTTGATGTAATGTAATGTACCACAGAGCGCATTATTTATTTACGTTGTAATTGTAGTTATGAAAACCAGTGTTGTTTCTCTCTCATTATTGAAATCTGATCATTATCAAGTTCTTATATATCAAATACCTAACGGGCAACAGATTATTATTATTATTATTATAATTATGTCCTGTTGTAAAATTGGGCAGATTTTTCCTTACTAGTCATGTACAAAAAACCATCAACTATTTTGTGGTATTAAGGAACAGAGCTGCCTTAAAGGAATGGTGCAGGATCACAAACTTAATGCTTTTTTGAGAATTGGCTATTTTGAGATTTTAGAAAACTAGATGAATGAACTTCAAATTTCATTCTGTAGCTGGGAGTAGGTGACCTGGGTCTTGGGGAATACCCATTTAGGAAGTGTATATATAGAACTGCCTTTTGCATGATTCAGAGAAATACCTGTTAGCTGTCAGTCAGGTATGAGGAATGGCCTGAAAGACAGTATGAACCTCCATAATGTCTTGACTAAGACTTAGAACTGTTGTACCTGATATATTATAAGGAACACCACCATCGTTATCATCAGGTATGGCATAAGCCATAGTGTAAGTGCTTGTCAGGTTTTTTCTAATTAACTTTGTGATTTCCCCATTACAAGTGAAAATTCAATTTTATAATGGTTTAGCATGGTAGAAATAATTGTGTGTAATTAAGATAATCTGTACTAGTAGATGTATAAATTGATCAAGTTCAAGTGTAAAAAGATGTGATTGTCTTTGATGAGAACCACAGTTCAAACCCTTGTAAAATGCATAACATTAATGTCATCAATGTTACTTCAATTGGTAGACTTCACATTCAGTCAATATTTTTTTTTTGGGGGGGGGGGGGATGTTTTGATTTGGACTCCAGTGTTTTAATGTTATTTAAAGGACTGTGCAATGCAGTTTTAAATTCCCTGTGGAAGCTATTTATTTTAAATATAAAAGTCACAGATTTGATCAATTCAGAAGTTGGTTAAACCCAGGAACTGCCAAGATTCACCTTTTTTCCTGACTATTCTGATTGAAAGCAGACTGCCAAAGTGCTAGATGAGATTATGAGAGATTACTGCTACATTGATTGCCACTCTAAAGTAGCATTTGGTATGAGGAATTTTAGATGTTTGAAAAGTTGTAGCAAGAGATACAACG